TGGCACTGCAAGGGGAAAGGACATGTTGCACACTAAATGGCTCTACCTGACAACAGGAGATAATTTTGGGACATTAAGACAAGGGGAAAGGACTCGTTGGACACTAAGACAAACCAATCCACCTTCATCCAAGGTAGCTTTTTGGGGCTATCTGACATGAGCCAACTCGCCAAGTGACAAGTGACTACTCGGGCCCGGTTCAAGGGCCAAGACAGGCTTGCTAACCTGCTTAGAATCACACAGAGTCGGGGACAAAGCAACAAAGCGACCTTATATAAGATGTTTAAACCACCCTTCCGCCCCCTGATTTTGTATAAACATGGAACGGATCGACTAATTCTTTATAATCACACACATAGGGGACAAACAGCGACCTTGATGAAAAAGTATAGTAACTTCCATTTGCTTCAGTCCCCTGCGAGAAAAAAACAACTAAAAAACGAAAACAACATACGTCCAGTAGTTATCCGTTCCCTCTCAAACCAACAGGGCCATCATAAGCAAGGACATGGAAAGGAAATACTGGGCAAAGTTTCAGGCCATACTTAAACCCAACAGGGCGATTTTTGCCAGTAGTTATAGATTCCCTCTAAAACCAACAGGGCAAACATGAGCCATGGTCTTACTTACCCCTTAAAACTCCAAGCCCTAGCCCTGGGGAAGTCAATCTTTTACAGACATATAGCCCATGTTACCCAAAAAGTTGAAAAGTTGTGTTTTTAAGAGGTCAGCTTATGTTAGTTGGGAGGTAAGTATCGCTGCCGAGGCGCTGGAACCAGTTCTGCGTGAGGCAAAGGCAGCCAGGTCTGAGTCTCTGGATCAGCAAGCGGTCCAGCAGTCCGGTGGGGTGGTTGGAGCAAAAGATGGTCCGAGGGCGTTTGAGGACCTGGGCTGCCCTCAGATCCCCTGCTAGAAGTGTAAAACTTTTAACTGGTTCAATGCACACCCCCCCATTAAACCATAAAAAGCGAACAAGCTAAGGGACCGGATGGCTGGCAGCCACCAAGGAACCTGACGAATCCATGTCTCTAACCAGAACTCCGATCTGTAGCTCCGAAGGCTCCCTCCTTAAAGCAACATTTGGATAGCCCAACGACCAGTGAGCGAAGGTGGGTTCTGGGGTCCGGGGGTCTTAGATGCTTGGATTGTAGGGAAAAATTGGTCGACTGGTGGGTCTGATCTCTTTGTCCACGTGATCACGTTCAGCGATTCGCGAACCATGGGCTTGACCCTCATCTGTCTCCAAATGCGGCCCCCTGGCATGAGTGGCGTCCCTCTGTTTTTGACCCTTGAAAACCCTCAATGGACACTCTCAAAACTACTATCCTGATATGATCCTCAATCCCGTGCAAGCACATAAACTGGCCAAGTAAATGGAGACTTGGGCAGGCTTGCCCAAAACGCCTAACGTGATTGTCTTCAAATATTGTGGTCGTGTTGAAACGAGTAATGCAACCGGGGAATTGCCAAATTCTGATGAAACAACATGTTCCCCATTCCCAAGTTACCCCCCCTCGTTTACCCACACAAAACCCCCAGTTTGGACGCCGCGTCCACATTGCAACAAAGCAGCGCCGAAGGGATCCAGCACTGTGACCCGGAAGTAGCACCTCGGTTCTCACACAAATTGCGCCCTCAGAGCTGATTGAGACGGGGCCCCCGGGTTGCCTCCGGTTTCCCCTTTCAATATCACCCAACAAGAAGCTTGCTTGAAAGCGGTCAACCACTGATGCTTAAAACCGCCTTCTGTTAACATCACCCAACAAGAAGCTTGCTTGAAAGCGGTCAACTACTGATGTTTAAAACCGCCTTCTGTTAACATCACCCAACAAGAAGCTTGCTTGAAAGCGGTCAACCACTGATGTTTAACACCGCCTTCAGAAGGAAACACACTTCTAACAATTATGTTTAAACCCGATTGGGGGCAAGTATCTTGAACTTGGACGGCTTTGCTTGGCGTAGGTCAAGCAGCAAATTCCTAAGGTCCTTGCTGAAATGGCGCTCTGCTCGGCTCATTTGCAGGGACATCTCCTAACTCTTTCACAAACCGAACGGTTCAAAGGCGAACTTAGTTGCGACATGTTGCGACTGCAAGGTTGACTTGGCCTTGGATTCCGGTGAGTTTGCGTTTAGTGGGGTCCTTTGATTCCTCAAAGGGGGTTACAAGGCAAACCACGAGCATTCTTGACCTACGAATTGTAGACCCCCATGAACCCCCCAGGAAAAAACGGTCCTTCTCCTCTACCTGGATTGCAAGCCAATAGAACTTGGAAGGGGCCCAGAGTTTGACCAAAAACCCAAGAGTTTGACCAAACAAAACCCCGTGTCCACTATTGGCACCCCCCCTACAAACTGTCCTCTTGGCCACCAAGCATCAAAACACAGAAGTGTACATTGCAAGAGCCAATACTTCTGCCAATGCCCATTCCTGAACAGTGAGGGTCTCCCCTGGCCCACTAGCTAACCACCTCTGCCTGCCCGGAAAAACCCCCAACATCCGATATCGAGTTTTGCGGGGGCTACCATGTCCCTAACCAGAACTCCAATAGCTCCGAAACACTCCACCTTTAAATGCAACATTTGGAGACCCTCCTAGGTCCTCCAGTAGAGAGGTTTGAATAAGGGTACCCTTTTTTCTGTAGTCCCCAAAAACGGGTAAAAGGGCACTACTGGGGGACGTAGACTCTAAACCCCGTCGCTCCCCCAAAACAAGTGGTTCCTGGGGCAGCGAACTTGACCATGGTCGCAGCACCTCCGAAGGGCCCTACTGTGGATGGACCGAAATCCATGTCGCACCACCTAAGAAATCCTGGGATGGTCATTCCCCTGCAAATACCAATGAACAATGGTTTCCCATGGTTTCTGAAGAGGTGCAAAAGTAGGGGCGGGCTGTTGCGCCCAATTGTGTTGCGCAAGGTGAGTGCTCAGAAGCCTTTTCTTCAGCCAAGAAATGTCCCACCGACCTAAAGACTTCCAATTGAACCATTTGCTTTTTCGCCCAGTAATGATAGATTTCCTTTACAGTCAACAGGGGAAAATCAAACATACTCTCAAGCAAATGACAGAAGAGCACTCTTTCAGTTGGCTAGTTGATTTTCAAAGTGGTTCAGGCCCCACACCCTCCAACAACTCATGTCCTCCGTGGATTGGCAGGCCAAAGTATAAACTCTCCATTTCCCACGAAAATGGCAACCAAACCCAAAAAGCGACTAAAGACAAATTTCAACGGGCTCCCCCCTCCCCCACCCCCCCACCCCAAGAAAAAAGGAGTTTGCGCCAGTCCGAACTCCCCCCCCCCGGCCAGGCCTAAAGAGCAGCAGTGCCACCAGGCGCTGATACCACCGCCACAGCTGCCAGCCACCCGGCGCCAGGCGCTCCACGCAGCTCGCCGCCAGCTCCAGGGGCAGCAGGCAGCACAACGCCGCCAGGTCCCACGCCTTCGCGAGCCGCGAGAGTCGCGCGAGTCGCGCGAGTCGCGCAGGGTGTCGTGCTGGGCTCTGGGGTCCGTTTTTGGCTGGCTTTGGATGGGGCTACAAACCCGTTAAACACCGAGTATGAGGCACACAAATACTCAAACACGTTGCCTACTGCGGCTATCAACCTGGAAATAAACCAACTACGCAAGCGGGTTCATTGCAAACCCGAGGCCAAAAAAGGCAGCACGCATGCCCGGGAATGAACCTGGTAGATGCCACTTAGGAGACTCAGAAAACCCAAATAAGCCAAGTGGGTTGAAACCCTAAACCCCAGGAGGCACAAAGAAAGCCAAATGACAACACCAAACACCGGAATGGTTTCAACACCCAAACGACTGCGAAAGGTGACCTCGCAAGGGGTTCTTCAAAATCACGTGCATGGGAGAGGGAGAAAAAACTAGAGTAGAACCTAGTTTAACCCTTAGTCCAGTACTAAGGGTGAGGTTGGGCGCTTCAAAACCACACGAGTCACATTCAAAACCATGCGCATTTGGTTGTTTTAATGTTTTCTTGTGTTACGGCTGAGCCAGCTGCAGCCATTTCGGCTGACCTCGGGCTTCCCCCGCGAGGCCTGCAGGTGTCGGCGGCTCAGCCAGAGCGCCCGCAGCTTCTTGCGGGCGCTGTAGCGCTCGGACGCCCGCGGCGCCGGAGCGCCGCCGCCCATGGCCGCCGCCCATGGCGCCGGATGCAAATCACACCCAACCAGGTCCCCCAGTAGAGAGGATTGAATAAGTTGGTACCCGATATTTTTTCTGTAGTCTATTTTAGTAGGGGGAACCCGCCCCGAAAAAGAAACGGTAAAGGGGCACTACTGGGGGACGTGGCCAGGTTAACACAGAGCTCAGTTGATCTCAGCGGCTTGATGGTCCAAACGCCCACCACTTTCACCTTGGCTCCAAAGGGAATCAGAAGGAAATCAGAAGGAAATCAGCCATTTGGTTGGGTACCCCTATTCTTGGACACGTATTCAAGGAGATGCTGCGTCAGATTTCTTTGGGACAATCCATGTCAGTGTGAAACTGAAAAGGGTGGAACTGTTGCACTAAGATGGCTAGTGCAGCAGCTTTTCAGATTGCGTTTAATCATTTGCCCCTTTCTCAGCCAGGCCACATGCAAGCACCAGAAAATCTGCCCCCAAGCCCAAAGGAGACCAACATGAAACGAATGTTCCACCCAGCACCCTCCAGGGTGGTCCATTTGTACCTGAAGTGCTCTATATTAAACAAGTTCATGCTGCAAATGGAGTGTTGGCCAATCCCAATCCATTCATTGCAAAACCAAGGTACGGATTGCCTAACAGCCCAGAAAAACTGGCCTCTCCCAAGTGGACTATACATATTTAATTAGGCGTTTTTAAAGGGAAACAGCCCATTAGAAGCTGTGAGACTGCTCCACCTCCTCCGTCCATAATTGCAGGTCGGTGTCAATTGCGAAGCAGAGCCCGCCCCCCCCAGAACTCTCGCTTTAGTGGACCCAACCTCAACACGGTCCATTCTGCTTGCGCCCGGCGCTGAGCCCCCGGACCTCTGGGGCTCAGGCGCACAGGTGACATGACCCTGGCCGATCGATTCGCGGGTGACATGACCCGCGTCCCGCCTTCCCTCCGTTGGTTGATGCAAAATGGCGAGCAACTGCTCATCTGCTCATCCAAGTCCATGTTTCACTAGGCTGCGAAATCCGTCCTTCCTTGGAAGAAAGGAAGCTCCCAAACCACAAATGGAACCAAGCACTGAAAAAAAAACAGAAGTTCCTGGAGCTTCCATGGAATCCCCCAGAGAGTGGTGGAAGCCATACTGTGGGATGGTTATGCGAAATCCCTTCGCACCATGTTGATGCCATGGGAAACCATTTGTTGGTATTTACAAGGAAATCAAATCATTCCTGGAACTCCCAACGACTGTGCGAAATGGACTTCGTCCATCCACATCATAGTAGTTACCAGCAGAGGCGCCCTTTGTTCCAGTGTTCAGGGGGGGTCTGGGAATGATTTGTGGACCCAAGGTGAAAGTAGATGCTACAACTCTTCAACGCCCTGTGTCACGACCAAAGCCAAATCTTTGGCCCGCACCAGTACTCTTTTTTCAGCAGGTTCGGGTTGGGACCGGTGGATGTGTCGCAGGACACTTCCATCTAGAAAACGGTTTGGATGCGGCGAATCTGTGGTCCACCCCTGGAGAGGGTTAAAAGAGTACTAAAAGACACATTACTAAAAAAGGACCAACAAGGGGGAAGAACGGGCGAAATCCGCAAAAGGCGCGTCCAAAGCGGTTTCTAGATTCCACGTGACATGTCGTCGCCCCATCCCCAACAAAAATAATTCAGCCATCGAGGGCGAACCACGCTGGCTGGCTTCAAAGTCAAAACGATCTCAGCAACCGGGCGGCGTCAAAATCCCGTTGCCAACAGCCCCAAAACAGGGGGCACTTCTTTGTGATGCTGGGTTCATCAAACCTTCTGCTGAGTTGAACACACCCACTGGGTGGAGCATGCAGCATGCCGCTTCCGCGCGCCTCCTTACCGGAAGTGTCACCCGGGAGCCTGACAGTGCAAGTTGCGCTGGCGCCTGGTGGTTCGCTTGTGTCAAAGGGGGCAGGTGGTTGCTGGCTGATGCGAACTTGCTCTTCTTGGCTTCCATTCATACCAACCCAGAAGGGGGTCCAACATTTTGAGACACTCCATCATTTTTGAGAGACTCCCATGGGGCTTGTACTAAACATCATGTTGCACGTGGGGTCTCCTCTTGGGTTTGCGGCAAAATGACCATCAAATGCTCATTTGCGCATCCCTGGCTTCAAGGATGGCCAGACCAAGCTAAAGTCAGTCCATGTTTCACTACCGTGGATGGACGAAATGCGTTCGCACCTGACGGAAACCATGGTTGAAGCCACGGCTTGCTGGTATTTACAGGGGAGTCGAATCATTCCATTGGGTGTCTGATCGTTGGTTCGACATGGATTTCGTCCAACTGTGCTAGGTCCTCCAGCAGAGAGGTTAGAATAGGGGTACCCTTTTTTCTGCAACCTAGTCTAGCAAGGGAACCCTCCCCCAAAAAAGAAACGGTAAAAGGGTACCTAGCTGAAGGACCTAGCGTATTCTGCGATGCTCGGCTACCACCGCCCCAAATCCAATCATTCCGTTGAGTTTCTTAGGTGCGCAGGGAGAGGGTAAACCATGCTAGTTGTTTAGCAAGGAGCCAAACAAGGAATCCCTGGGTTCATTCCATGTCTCATCCCCAAATCCAGAAATCCAAACCAACCTGCCGCGAGAGGTCGCCGACGCCGTCGCGTTCGCATGGGTCCCCGGCTCATGGCGTTGCCCGCCGCGTGCGCCAAGGACGCCTGCGGCGCAAAGCGTGGCCGACACGTGGGGCCCTGGGCGCAGTGGGCCCCCCCAGCCGGCAAGAGGAAGCCTTTTCCAGGTGCCAAGCGGAGAACCCCAGGTGAGTCACAATCAAAACCCGGTATTAAAATGGTCGGGACCCAGAACCATGTAAAGAATGGAGAAGGCGGATATCCGCAGCTATTTATGGTTGGGAGTATCCCTTACCAACCTTCATCTACCCGCATTTTGATTGTGGCTCAGGTGAACAAACCCCTGGTCAACGCTTTAAGCGCCCCAGGTGAAGCCTGAAGCCGGCTACAGCCAGGTTTGTGGACCAAAGAATACAATGGTGTGTCACCTCTTAGCGGGGGCTCATTTTTGGAGAGGACACCCTACGAATGGGACGGGGTTGATTACGCAACACCCTACGAATGGGACAGGGTTTATTACCCCGGGGTCGACCATTCTCGGATTGCCGGAAAAAGGGTAGGAGCCGTGCCGGAAACGCAGGGAGCCTGGTGGATAAGAACTCCCATGGGGCCTGGTAATGTTGACCCAGGATCTAAGTAGAACCCGTCCCGCTATTAGGGGGGTGGCAACCCTCCAAAAGTGGTCTGAATCCTCACCAAAAGGGGACACCCCCCGATCAAAATCAACCAGGGGACCGCTGGAGGCTTCTTCCGTCTCTTGCAAGCCTTCTGGCACCAGTTCTGCGGGAGCGAATGCAACATCTCTCCCAACAACAGCGACCTACAGTTGGATGGGCAAACGTTGACTTAAGCGTTGGGATGGATGGAATGGATAGAACCCTTGCTACCATCTCCTTCCAGAACTCCGGGCAGCTCCTTAGCACACAATTGGCTGCTTCCAGCTCCTTCTGCCCCGAAACGATCACCAAGCTGCAACACCGATAGGAAACGGCCCACCATGCGCAAACAACCCCAATACCTCACTCATGTTGTCCGTTGCTCGATTGGAAGGCCGTACAATTTAAGTCTACTAGCACCAGGCCCCCCCTAACCACAACTCGGATCGGTAGCTCCGAAACGCTCCCCCTGTAAAAGCGCCTTTGCCATACTGGGCTGCCCTCAGATCCCCCGCTAAAAGTTTAACATTTAGTGGGTGAAATGGAAACTACCACTAAACACTAAAAGGATCTAAAAAGCTAAGGAACCGGATGGCTGGCTTCGCCACCAAGAGTACACTCCCCTTTCCACTGGGACAACGGGCTCCTGAAACTTCCAGTGACTTTTTAGGCCCCGGCTGTCCTCGGCCGGGCTCCGGTCTCTTTGCAGCTCTTGCTTCCAGGGATTTCGGGGTGCCGGTTTCGCCATGCGTGTGGGTAAAAAAGGCGTACCCAAAAAGGCTTGCCCTATAAATGGAACCAAAGACTAAAACCTGCGGTCCAATTCCTGGTGGGTTTACTTCGACCCATACCCAAATGGAACACCCAAAATGGCACCTTGGTATATGGAGACCTTGTTTCCTTTGCCCCATACTCATGTTCCTCTGGGGGAGGCTACTACGCTACCAGCTTCCCACCTGCGCGATGGGCGAGGCCAGGCGCAAGGAGCCTACGATCCAAAGGCTCGAGTTGCGGCCCTGGAAGAAGTGCACCCGCCCTTTTCACACAGAGGCTCCGAAGTACCCCATATTTCGGGCTTTGGGTTTGCTTCAAGGGGAGTCCTCAATTACAGATTCCTCCAATCCGCAAAAATATGAGGCACTTGGACCCTCTGACGGAACCTATTCCGGAAAATGAGTGAGCAATGTTTGCCGGCTACACGTGCCTGCTTGGCCATGTTGAAGTTTGTTGGAGGATTTGGGGAGTCCTGGTTTGGATCAGTTTCCTAAAGGAGCCGGGTCCCGGAAACAAAAAAGGTTCCGGGTGACAAAGGTGGGAGGGAAAATCACCTGGGTTCCCCTGAAACAGCCATCCACAAATTGTGAAATGAACCGGATGCGAAATGATGGTTTTACAAACTGCCGTTTATTGTCCGTCAAGGTCTATTCGTAGCAAATGGTTGTTTGGGGGTTCCGCGCGTTGGTAGATGGTTGCAGTGCAGGTTCCCGGCACTCATCAATTTCCACGAAAGAGGGGAACGTTGTGAGAGGTGTTATGTTGGCTCGGATTAAAATTAAACCACGAATAGACCGCAGGTGTTTGTCCTTGTTTCCATTTACTTGGGTGCCTAGTTTTGACCCGAACCCATGTGTTTGTTCATCTGAACTAATGGGTATGCCCAAACCTGAGTTCAGCAATCCCAAGTGAGGCACTTTCATGGGTATGCTCCGTTCACCCGGGTGCTCGTGCTTTAAACCCGGTCCTGCACAAGGCCTTTCCTTGCAATGCCACATGACCCTTCTTAGAGGACCCTTCCCTCACTTGCCCAAAGGACCCATCAATAAAAGGTTAACCTCTTGGGACCCCTGCTAAAAATAGACCAAACAGGGAAAACCAAAAGGTCAAAAGGTCGGCTTTGAACAACTGAGTTCCTTAAGGCCGTGCGAATCATTTAGTTTTGGTTGGGGAATAGAAGAATTGAAAGCGCTAGCCACAAAAGAATGCATGACAAGTGACAAATCAAAAGGAACCATCCCGTTAAAGGGTCTCCTTCAACGTTGCCACAAAAGGCATCTCCCACGGACAACTCGCCTTCAAGTCCCCAAGCTCATGGTGGGTTTTTGGCCGCCTCCACATCAAAGGCTACGCCAACATGCGGCAATGCGGGTGCTTCTTTTGGTTTCCCCTCGAAACAACCTCCAAGACATCCTCAAAACAACACACACCTAGGGGTCAAAATAGGTAACAAGGACAAGCACCTGCGGTCCGCTGGCGGTTTAGTTTTGACACTCACCCACACTGAAACAAAAAGATCACAACGGCTCGAACACCAACCCCCGACTCGCGAAGCCCGTCCTCCATCAGGCCGTCTGGGAGAAAGGTTCGCCATGAGGCCTCGAGCTGCGAATCCGCTTGGCGGGCGGCCGATTCCACCAAGTGCACGGGCTGTGAGTTGCAGGTAACCTGACAGGGTGAACACCAACTAGGTCCTCCAGTAGAGAGGTTTGAATCAGTTGGTACCCGATTTTTGTTTTTCCCCGTAGTCTGATTTAGCAGGGGAACCCTCCCCAAAAAGGGTAAAAGGGAACTACTGGGGGACCTAGCCAACAAAAACACAAATGATCTAAGAGGGATCCTGTTGTGGAAACCTTGGTTGACGTTGGAAGGATAGCAAAAAAATAGCTGTAGCAGTTAAGTGGGGATTTCCCACTAAACCACAACAAGCAAAAATGCAGAATGTGTCCCAACAACAACCATGGGAAAGGCCCAAAACAGGGTCCTGTCCGTGAATTTTTGCAGGACCTGGGCGAATGCTTCGGAGACACTTGGCTCAAAGGCACCGTGGATGCAGAACACATCGCATTCAACATGTTTAAAACCCTGAAAACTACAGGCTCCCCTTATTTTCCTTGCAATACTTGCAGGCATCCACAAAGACCCCTACCCTCCAATCCCCAACCCCAGTTTTGTTGAAAGAAGGGGATTGGCCAAATCTGCGTTCCCGCGACGGTGCCTGAATTTTCAGCCAATGTCGCATACTTCTTTTTCCCTGCTCCCACTCACCTTTGCCGCAAGCCGAAGGCATCCGAAGGCCGCGGTGCGAGCGAAGCAGCCGCACTGCCCGCGTTGGGCACGCGCAAAGGGCCATGTGCGGTGGTGCAATGAGCCGAATGTCCCCGTCCAAAACAAAACTGAATTATTAGAGCCTGATTGAACAAACTACGCTAAAGTTCTTGTCCGCCAAGCACACAAAATGCCAGTAGTACAATAGTAGTCTGCACGTTGCTTCATACGAGGGCCCAAACCATCATCTTTAGAGGCCTCGGTTTCAGGAGCCGTGCTTTTTGGGGGCCAGAGCTCCAGGCAGACCAACATCAGAACACAAACAGGTCAACAGATCGACTCCCTTTGAGCAGTTGCAATCACAACGCCGCATTTGCCAATCCAAAGGACTACAAACGGCGGCTGCAGCTAATTCTGGCTTGGGACTGTCCCTCTCTTCACTTTCCAGGGTGTGAATTTCGACTGGGGATGCTCTGGACATCTTTTGGGGAATTCTGTCCGTCAACGACTTGAAAGTGGGTTCCTCCTGAAAATGCATAGCCACCTGCGTCTTCTTTTGAGGGTACACATGTTTGGGGTTTTCTTAAAGGCAAACCAAGAGGAACTCCCCCCCCTCCCCATGTTGATCAATTGTTGTGCCCCCTTAAAAGGCCAGCTCCTCCAGTAGGGAGGTTAGAAGAAGGGTACCCTTTGTTCTGTAGTCTACTGTAGTAGGGGACCCCTCCCCCCAGAAAGTGTAAAAGGGCCCTACTGGGGGACCTAGAAGCGGTTAGGCCTCGAATTTCTCCGTGGACCCGAACTCCGAAGGCTCCAGAAAGCATTTGCTGGGCAGAGCTGATGGTTCTCAGCAGGAAATGAGAAACGGAATAGAGGGAATTTCCAGCACCAGGGAACCTCACTTTCCTGGATTGGTCAGAAACATGAAACGCTTCAGCTTTAAGCCATGAAACTTGCTAATTACAAAACGATCAAACTTTTCTGGGTGTCCCTCTTTTCGAAGGTGCCCCTTTTTGTCGTTTTAAAGGGACCACACAAAGCCAGCCACAATTTTTGGGGTACCTCCAAAAAAAGACACACCCACACTGGCAAAAAGTTCAAAGTTCAGGGGAAGTGGCTTCAATATACCTCCTTTCATGGCAGCTCCGACACGGAGGCGTACACGCCCCGCAGCACCGACGCCGCGTTTCGGGCCTCTATCGGGTCCCGCCCAACTGTGGCTGAAACGTTTGCAGGGAGTGCGTTCGCGGGGCTAGCAGGCGCCGGGGTTGGCCCGGCAGAGCTGAGGGCTGCCCAAAGTCGCCTCAGCTCGGCCTGGCACAGGGCTGCCGGTTTCGATTTCCAGTTCAACAAATCACCTTTAAAAATGCTGATTTAGAGGATCGCGTTGACGAAGTGTTGTGGGGCGCGTGCCGCGCGAGAGTAGATGGCAAGATCTCTTTGGGATTAGCCATCCCCGGTACTTGCACTGGCCCACGTAAACTTTTTGGGAAGACAAAACAAGTGGCAAACGGAAAGTTTATATTTTGTGACCAGTCGAGTCAGGAGGTGTAATGCAGGGGGCAAGTGTAACACGAAGGTCGGCCCCGTAAAGGAAGCCCAAAGAGTCTGTATACAATCAAAGGATTGGCCCCACCGAGGTGCAAAGAGTCTCATCCTGTTAATGTTGCACGGCTGACTAAAAATGAAACTGAATCTTGAGTGAAACATCAGTACGTGAAACACATCAGTACGTGAAACACTTTTGCTTCTCCCCGTTCGGCGAACATTAAAATTGAAGACTGGGGTGTTAGGACGGCCCTCAGGTGATGCACCCTCCCACCAACTACCACGGAACCTGACCTTGGGGCCTGGGCCCACGGTCCAGTTCGAAGGAAACATGGATCCAAACCAGAACTTTCAACCCAAAAAAAAAGCGCCGAAGGGTTCCATGCGGGAAACTTGGCGTTGCTTTGATTTGTCGCGATCCGATCCGCGCGGCAGCAGGTAGAAGTCACCTCTTGCTAAGGCGAGTTTCGAAGCTGCAAAAATCTATCGTAGAGAGCTGTCTTAAGAGTGCAACTACTGGATTTGACCTTCCAGTTGCTTAAGCCCCCTGGAAGTAATAATATTAACACCAATATTTCCAGTAGTGCTAGATTCCCTTTAACACCAGCCAGGGAAAATTAAAAAAAAGTGCTCAGCCACTGGATGTACTGGCGCTTGGGAGAGGCGAGGCCCGGAGCTCCGGGCCTCAAAGTGTCGTCGCTCCTGCGCCAGGCGTTGCTCCAGTTCCGCCCGGGTCACCACCTCGCGGCGGCTCAGCTCCGCCTGGAGCGGGAGTCCGGGGGCCGAGTCGGGGAGTCGGGTGACTTGACGTACTCTCCAAGGTCCTCCAGATTTGAGCGGTTAGAATAAGTTGGGACCCGGCTTGTTTTTCTGTAGTCTATTTTAGTAGGGGAACCCTCCTACCCCAAAAAAAAGCAAAAAGGGCACTACTGGGGGACCTAGCCTTGGTAGCTGTTTTCAAGATGAACAGAACCAAGAAACATGAAGTACCTAAAACCATGCCGACAACAGTGAAGGATCGTGAAATGCCCTGGTTCTCAACTCTAAGTTGTACGGTACCAGGCATGATTTCAATCAAAGCCCTACTCACCCAATGCTCCCTGGTTTGTCAGAACGGTCTTTGCAATGTTACCAGTAAGACTTTGGTTCACCAGGGGTCACTGGGTGTCCGCTTCAAGAGCTGCAATGTTACTGGTGGTTTCCCTTGTAGCTGCCGCTTTTGGAAGGCACCCCTGTCAAGCCCCAGCTAAAACTCCCAAAGCCATGCCATGCTGTCACAAAGGGGCATGGTGGTTGGGCTGAGGGGAATCTAAGAGGCCCCTCGAACCCCTACCTCTATCGTTGAGCTTCTGTAATCTCGATTCATTCTTGATTCCTCTAACCCTTAACTCAGTCAGCCTCTGACTTCTCTCTACCCTCGGCATGTGCGAAATTCATCAACCTCGTACATCCTGCCAGCGGTCACTTGTCTGTGGGAATGAGCCATGCGTGTCCCAGATCAACTTGAATTCGCCTTCTAACTCCAAACTCTACTTCTCGCAAACTAAATTGGTCGCCACCCTTAGCATCACCAGTCTCTTAGTCCAGAAACTTACCTTGAACGGGCCCTTAGGTGATCTTGAAAAGCCACATGGTTAATCTATCCATGGCTCAGGGTACACAAAAAGAAAATCATATCTTCACAGTTTGGTACCCATGTTTCACCCATATACCCAAAAACAACATGTGTTTTTGAGGAGGCCCCGGCGGAATGGACATGTCCTCGGCCATATGGCTGTGGGTCAAAAACAAAAGGTACCATTTTGGGGTAGTTGCACCACCTATTCTAGTCGATAGTGGGGATTGGGATGTTCACTGGGGATACGGGATTTTGACCCATGGCAATGATTTTTGTCACCAAAGGCTCGAGCCGGCCTCACAGACTTCCAGGCGCCGCGCAAGCTCCCTCGGCGCGGCTTTTTTGATTTTTTCCGGGCCCTATCCCGAGTACCTACGGGGTGAAACTACATGGCATACCCTCCCACCAATTAAAATGGATGTGCAAAAAGACCCTTTCCGAGAGGAAATTAGTCTTCCTACAGGGGTCTGTGCACTTGCATGTTAGCTGGTGCGAGGGTAATTCCTTTCGCCTAAACCTAAAACATTCAAAAACAATGGAAATTGCAAGGAGATGGTGCTGTCTATTTTCACCCCGCAATTTCCGATTGGCCAAACCAAATCCAAGTGAAGAACAAAACCAGCTGACTCAGTTCCTGAGTTGATTGGCCAGGAAACCCTGACGCTTTGTGAGAAAACCAAGTGAGGTATTGATCCCTGGTCTGCGCCTGTGGGCGCTTAATTGAGCCATCCCCAGGGTCTTGGAACTGCGAGCTTTCCATAGACAATATATATATATATATATATGTATATATATATATATATATTTGGGCACACCCCCATGATCACCTAGAATGTGGTATGCAATAAACACTCTGGGCGTGGATCCAGCACTCTAGGCGTGGATCATGGGGAGGGGGGTGTGTGTGTGAGCGTATATAAGCATATATATATATGTATATATCTCGATACCCAGCAAGGAGCGCAACTTGTTTGACCCCGCCCGGGCAAACAAAAAAACATGTGGGATGGGCATGGTGACAAGCCCTCAAGTTGGGCCAAAACAGTGCATTATAGTCAGACGGTGAAAGCTGCTACTCAAAAACATATAGCTTTAACCCCCTCACACAAGGTCATATTAATGCTCTTTGTAGTGATTTGAGCAAGCCTCATGAAGTGCTCCTTGTAGTAAATAGTGGAACATCACTGGGTTGAGCCCCCGCCTTCCAGCAAACCACAGGGAACATACATTGCATTATGTGAGAGTAAAGGGGGTCGGGGTCAAAGGGGCGGCATGATGGCTCGTTTTACGCCCAGGTCGGTGAAATTGCTCACCATCAAAAACAATTGGCAGAACAAAACTTAAACATGTTTGAACAGCTGTCTTAACACAAAATCCACGTACATCCTGTTGGTTTCCCTACCAAAGGGGACAACGTTTTGGTTGTTTGAGCAATCAAATAGCACCCCCCCCCGACCCTTTCTGTGGCCAGCGTCGCGGAACCGCCATCAGATGGCGTAATGCTCGCACGCGCTAGCTCGCCTGGAGGGATCCTAGTGGTCCGTGCCGCCTGTGTCTCGATAAATGGGAGTTGTTTTAAGGTCGGACCCCAAAATGTTGGTAGTCTTCTTGGTTTTCCTTGAAACCAAAAAAGGTACCCTCGAAAAAGAAACTCCGAAATGGGGTTCTAAGCTTCCTGCATTGGGCTTGACTTGCTGATTTACAAGGACAAACTTTCCATTCCACATGGTTTCGATTTGCAACCAGCCTTTCAACAAGGAACACACAAAAAGCAACATGTATACGTTGGCAATTGCGCCAAGCCAGCCCACCCAAGCAGCAACAGATTAAACGGTTCGTGCCAGGAGTTGGAGGGGCCCGTTTATCTACCCCCAGACCAACCTCCTTAGGAAAGGGCCTTTTTGGGTTCCCTGTTCCATATCCGAGAAGTCCATTGAAGCGAACATTTCGAGGGTCCTCAACTTCCTTGGGCAGTTTCCGGTCGAAGCCCTATTGGGAGGGTAACTTTGAGGAGTCACTTGAATGACCCCAGTATCCCCACTGCTGGTTAACTGCAAGAGGGCTGTGACTCGGCAAATTCCTGCGTCCAACATTTCAGAGCCTCTTTACAGTGCTGCCGCTAATTGTTTACCGGGCGGAATCAACAAATCCCAACCTGATGTGCGGAGCGTACAGTCTGCAACTTAGCTTGGCTTGGGTGTGTTTGTCCAGCGAGTCAACCAACGACAGAGTCATTTGTGTGGTCTTAGTTCTTGGGCGCGTTTCCCCTCAACCGACATATGACAAGTGGCTCAGTGCAGCTAGCCCCATAGACCGTTTCCATGGCTTCAATTCTACTTCGGAAAGTGACCCCAATGCGCCTGGCTTGAAACTGGCAGGGGGTTGCATTTGCCAACCGGCAAGTTGCACAAAACTACTGCACTTTGGGCTCATGGTTGAAATCGAGGAACCCCTGGAAGGCTCCCCCAATTGTCTTGCTCCTGTAAACCATCCCTTGCAGGTGGTTTCCTTTAATTAAGGGATTTTATTGGGTTCATTCCATTTCTCATTCGAAACCACGGTTGAAACCATGGCTAGTTGGTATTTCGAACCATTGGATGGTTTGTGATCGTTGGTGCGAAATGGATTTAGTCCCACAGTATTCTGCAATGCTTGGCTACCACAGCCCCAAATCCAATCATTACGTCGGGTTCTTAGGCGCCCAGGAAGATTCGTCCATCCACAGTAGGGGTCAATGATTGTTGTTTTTTCGCAAGGAACCAGACAAGGAATCCTGGGGTGCATTCCATGTTTCATCCCTACCTGCTGAGCACCATTGTTGAAACCATTGTTTGGTATTTACAGGGGAAATCGGACCATTCCGTTGGGTTTCTTAGGTGCGCAGGGAGGTTTTTCGTGCATCCACAATAGGGGTAAACCGCTATTGTTCAGCGAGGAACATAAAATAATGCCGTCATAAGGATGATCAAGCCCCCACACGTAAGCACGTAAAGAACAAATAAACCAAACAAGGAATCCTTGAAAATTCATTCTCCGTCTAATCCCTGACTTCTCATGGTTTAGGAGGTGCGCGGGGAGGTTCTTCGTCCATCCACACACTCTAGTGCTACCTTCCCCATTCTTTCCAAGGATACTTCTTTCTAGAACACCTCCGACCTAGGGGAAACGGGCGGCTTTTCACAAGAACGGTGGTTGAAAAGAATGGAAAAGGAATCAACCAGCAAGTCCTTCCATTCAGCACTCCAGCATTCTAGCATTCCATTCTGGATGAATGCTGGATGGTTGAGTTGCTAAAAGATTGGAATCTTAGAAGACTCGTCCATCCAGCGCCTAATCCACGTCTAATCTCTCATTTGCCATCGTTCAGGTGGTGCGGGGAAGTTCTTCCTCCATCCACTTGAAAACCATGGTTGAAACCCTGGTTAGTTGGGAAATCGAACCGTTCCGTTGGGTGTCTTAGCTGCGCAGGGAGATTTGTAGTGCTGCCTTCCCCATTCTTTCCAGGGATCCTTGTTTCTAGAAAACCTCCGGAGACCCAGCGGGAACGGCCGGCTTTTGACAAGAACCATGATTGAAAAGAATGGAAAAGGAAGCAACCGTTGAAGATTCCTCCATCCAGCGTCTAATCCAGGTCTGATCTCTCAAATGTCCCATGGTTCAGGCGGTGCGCAGGGAGGTTCTTCCATCCACAGTAGGGGGTAAACCATTTTTCTGGCACTTGTTGCTTAGCAAGGAACCAGAAACCAGGAATCCCTGGCTTCATTCCCATGATTTACCATTTTCCCTGGCTTCCTACACCATGTCGAATCCCTGATTTCCCATGGTTTAGGTGGTGCGGGCGGTTCTTCGTGCATCCAGTCGTCCTTGCGCCCACGCCGAGCGATGCGCTTCGTTCCTCGCCTCGGAGGCGCTGGTTCTCCGCCTCGGCCGCCTGCAGCTGCTGCCGCAGGGCCGCCAGCTGCTGCTGGAGCTGCAGCTCCCGCGCCTGGCGCGCCCCGCGTTTTGCTCGATGTTGGGGGAGGTGTTGCTGAAATGTGGCCCGGAGTTTTGGGCGTTCTTCCTGGAATATGTGCTTCTTGTTGGACATGTGTTTGGGAAAATTTGATTGTTGAGCAAAGTTTGTACCCGGAGACTTGGATTTTTGGGCATTTGGACCGAAAATGTGTTTTTTGGGGCATTGTTTCCTGGACAATTGTTGAGTTTTGGGCAGTTCTACCTGGTTTTGATGAAACGATCATATATATATATAATGTTTTGTTTGACTTTGTTGCCCGGTTTGGACCCAGAAACAAAAGGTGATCACCTTTTGGGGGCATGACTACAAATGGACCAACAAAGGAAAACCAAAAGGTGAAAAGGTCGGCTTTGGGCAACTGAGTTTGTGACTGACCTTTCCCTTCACACCTCTGACCAAAAAAAACATGGTGCTGGGTGTGCTTTGACACCATGCGCAATCCGGGTGGCCAGGTGGAATGCTAGGAGGGTGTTCCGAGTACGAATGAAAAAAACTGGGCGACCTTCATGCAGCATGGCTTTCTCAGAACAACTTCCTAGAATGCCACAGGGGTCCCTATAGTTCCCTTGGTTGTTTTAAACATCACCTTTTTGGCCCATGAAAGGTGAGTATCCCTTGGTGGTGGTGATGGTTTAAGGGGAAATAATAGGGAGCCCTGTGCCACGGCAGGCAGAAGTTGGCACTGGAGTGTCAGGATTTCGCATGGCTCTGTCTTCTTTTTCATGGGGTGGTTTTGAAGGGGAAACGAAAGACGCACCCACATGCCACATGGCTATGGCATGCTATGAACTCCCCCCTCTCATCTGCTCTGTCCTCTCAAGATCCCATCTCTCTCTCTCTCTCTCGAGCGCTTTTTGATTCGCCCGATCGGCACTTCAAGTACCTTCGTCGATCTGCATTAGCACGAGCCATGGCCGAAACTCGGAACTCTTCCTCCCCTAAGTGGAGTTTTCCATTCGATCCTTGCCTAACAAGTCCAATCACCTTCACGCGTTTGATCATATGTTGAGGGACGCAACGCTTCTTACTGGCGCCGTATGCTTGTTCAAGCACGGCCGGGACAAATGGTTGGAGCTATCTGAGCTTAATCCCACTTCCTGAGTGGCCGAGCCAAACAAAGAAGTTTGAACTTGGTGTTTCCGGTTAAACTTACCTGCCCAGGGAGTATACAGTTCACAAGGGAGAAGTGCGTGCTCTGACCATGGCGCCATATGTTTGTACACGATGTCACAGACATCACAGTGAACCTTCAAGCGTCCCACCACCTTAGAAGGGAGGGCGGCAGGAAACTCCTAGTTCGCTTAGGTGCCGCGACTATCCTTTCCCTACAAGGAGAAATCCAACGTCTGGTGGAATTTCAAGTGTCCCCCCCTCCCCAAAGCCATTTGTTTTCGGGTGATTCAGGATTGACTTTGGACCCAGCTGGGTATGGGTCAAAATTAAGCCACCAGCAAACCGCAGGTGTTGGTCCATGCTTCTGTTTACCAGGGTGACAGATTTTGGGTACCTATTGTTGACCCACACCCAGCTAAGGAGGTGGGGACTTGCCGCGAGCTCCACGAGCTCTCAGCCGAGAATAGCTGCGAGGTCATCATCGTCGATGTCAGACTCCGTCTCCGATTTGTCGGAAGGGTCCAGAGCGAAGGCAGGCGCTTCCTTGGTTGCTGCAACGACCCCCCTGCAAGAAGTGGACCACTTTTTGCGGGGTTTAGTGGAAAACCCAACTTGATTTCAACCAACAAGGTAAGTCTAAAGATCCAACCCAATAGCAGTCAAGCTTCCTTCTCCTTCTCCTTGCGCTAGCGCGTGGTCGACTTTAAAGTCAACCCCTCAACAGAAACAAAGGAATCACCCACGCTGGCGAAGACAAAACCGACAAAACCACCTTGAACGGAGGCCAAGGGTGGTGAAAAAGGAAAAAGGTGAGGGGGTAACTTTAAGATGGCAAGTCAAGATTCGTAAATGGTTGGCTGATTTTGATCAGGGTGCCCCCTTCTAGTGGAAATCCAGCCCAGATTGTGGGTGAAGCCTCTCTATTGATAGAGCTTGTTCTACTTCTAGGTCCTCCACTAGAGAGGTTTGAATAAGGGCACCCTTTCTTCTGTAGTCTATTTTAGTAGGGGAACCCTGCCCCAAAAAGGGTGAAAGGGAACTACTGGGGGACCTAGACTTAGATTCGAGGTCCACATTAATCTCAGGCGCCCCATTCTGAACCCAGAAATCAAGGTTCATGACTCAAACGGAAACCCAAAGCGAAGAAACAAAAACGTCAACAGCCCTACGTGTCCTTTGGAAATTTGGTAAAATAGATGCCCTGGCAAATGGAATAAAACCTATCCAAACCAGTGCCATCAATTCCACCCAACCTAACCTAAAAAGGACACCGATGTCAACAGGTTGACGCGCTTTGGCTGCAAGTGAGCGTTGAGCTTTGGCTTAGCCAAGACTCTGGCTTCACCTCCAGCCTCTCACGTAGGGCCACCAGATCTGCCAGATCCGGCTTTGGCTCCTGGTCCGAGAGGAAAAAAACACCTCCCATTCTTGACAGCTACTATGCCAACTGCAAAATTGACCTTCAATCCAAAAGCTGATTTAAGAACCGAGTCAAGGAATAGGTAGAACACATGACTGTTAAAGTAGGACACCCTTGAGTTCCCTTGGGCCAAAATGGTTCAGTGACTGGGCGGGTGGAAGGGACATTGCGCCCAGTTTAGGTAATGCGAACATCAACCAAAAATGCCCACTTCAAACGAATGCCTCCCGATATCACCCCAGAGGAACTCACTTGAAACGGGTAAAGGTGATCTTCAAACCATCCAAGGCCATATTTATCGCACTTCTGCTTCTGGAACCCACTTGAACAACCGGTTGGCAATAGGGCTTGAAGCCAGCCAACTGCAAGTCAATCTAGGTGGGTTTCAGGCAGGCCCATCCCCACAAATCGAACAACCTCAACCTTCAGCCTTTTTTGTGGGAAACCCAATCGAAGAACCTCACTTGAGCGAATTCGCCTAAAAGACAGCCTAAGTTTTTTGGCTTATTACCACTAGTTCAGCAACCCAGAAGGTGAATACACGGCTCCAGGTTCCCCTGCGCCTGCATGTGGCTCGGCACGCTCGGCGCGTGACTTTGCGCGCTCGGAGCGTGGCTCGGCGCGTGGCTCGGCGCGTGGCTCGGCGCGTGGCTCGGGGCGTGATGTGGTGGGAGATGCTGTGCCACCACCTCACGCTCCGGGCGCTCGCCCAAAAGTTCCAGCGGCTCCTCAGATTTCTCGAAGCCCCCCACCCGCCCCCACCACCAACACTGAACCAGTGCCAGCGTCCGTCAAATCCCCCATTTTGGTATCAAAAGCAAAGCAACAAATTGCACCGTAAACAGAGTGGCGGCTGCTGGCGTGAGCGGCGCCGGCAGTGCTTCGTGCGCATGGAGTCCTCCCGTAGACCAGGCAACCCAAAAAGCCTTCCTGTTTGGGTCACTCCTTCACTTCTCAGCGTCTCTCCAATTGAGTTCAATTGGTGGTTTGGGGCCCACTAGTTTGGGTGGTTTCCCGGTCTTACTCTTTACAAGCACCAGAGGTTCAAATTAAGGGTCCGCTTGAACTTCCGTTCGAGTGGATGGGCCAAACAAATCAACATGCTCGGTTTGCCACTTACCTTTTCTCTGGTCCACTAGCATGCAACATGACGTTTTGGGGTGGATGTTCCAGAAAGGGGCCAATTCTGCGGTGGGTTCCATGCCGTTCGTGGATGGAAGGGGGGGCTAAGCGAGAAAGCCCCTCTTAGGCGACCTGACCGGGGGGTTGAAGACCATTTTGCCAAGATGGGACTCCCTAGTTCTATCTTAGTGGACAGCACGCTACCCCATGAAGGTTGCTTTGAAGGGAAACCGCAAATGTTGAGGCTTACTTCCTGTTTGAGACAAACCTAAAGCGGATCAAATGCAAGCATGTGCTCCAGGAGTGCTTCTTCATCCACCAAAACCAGCATTTGTTCCAAGTACCAACTGGTTCACTTCTTCGAATTCAACAGCGCGAGCTTTATTCTTTCCACCTCCAAAACAACACAGACCCATTTGGCGTAGCACAGCAAAGGCGTCACTCCGTCCTTCCACCAGACTTGTTCCTCCAGCAGTCTCCGCGTGCCTTCCATGACCTCTCAAGGTTCTCTGGCTACAAATAGGAACTATGGGACACACCGAAGGCAAACCACCCAGTTCAATGTTGACCCCATATGCATCACCCCCAGTTTTCTTGATAGGGAGGTGTCCCTGGGTTTAGTGGGGAATCTTCACCTTTGGAGTACATGGGGTTTTGCTGGCTCGTTTCAAGGGTGGCTTTGGCATCTTTTACTTTCGGCTCCCTAAAGTGAATGCGTTTGATGTTAGGGTTCTCAGAACCATTTTTTAAAGCGCTTTGCCTTGAAACCGCTAGTTTATATGGACACTTCGAGGAACTTACACCCCGCAAAAAGAACAAATCCATCAAGCAAACAACAAAAACAAAACCCCCGCACCTGCGTGCAAGTCGTGGCTAGGCTTCTCGGGCAAATGCTGAGACACCACCTCGGCCTGGGACTTCATCAATGCCTTCGCGGCGACTCTCTTGCTGGCCCCTCCGCTGGGGAAATTTTCCCGAGGGAGGTTGTGGGGTGCCTTCCCCGCCTAATGGAACACTAGGCACTGGGGTTTCAACTCCCGAATGCAACCACAACGGGCAACAGGCGGTCAATCAACAAAAATGGGCAACATTGGGAAAACCGTTCGCCGTTTCTACCAAAACGGGTCACTAGATAGTCATCTTTCCGCTCGGAACCTGAGAAAAATGGAGCCTCCGGGGTCTAAGAGTCCAACCAAATGGGCTCCCCGCCCATTTCTTGGGAACGTGCCCCAGTCAAGAGGTTCTCTTTGCCAAATTCTACCTAAAACCAAAACCTGACTGACACGAGGACCGATTTAAGCATCGGGCAAATTGAATCGACCCCGGATTGGTGACACTGAAAACCAGTTGGTTTCCTTGTGATGGCCCTATCTTCCCTTTATCCACCCGACCGATGAAGGCCTTTTCCCAGATGCGTTTCTTCTGAAGGTGCCTAAGCTGACTGCTACAACCGCGTTCCCGTTCCCTGTTTCTTGGTGGTTTTGCGGGGTAGCGGACCCCATGTTGGACAACTTGCTGAACAAGGAACAGTATCCTACAGCAGGGAACCCGTCCACCTGGTCAGTTGGCTTCGAAAGGGATACACAAAAGAAATCCAGCAAAAGGACAACTCAAAGGTAAACCCATGCATTTGGGTGTTTCTTCTTTGAGAGTCTCCTTTTTCCGGGTCTTTTCACGGGTCCCACAAGGAACAACTCTTGGCCCATGTTGAGGGCATGAACCGCCTTGACCAGGGCTGTGGGAAATGACCACTTCTCCGATACAACAGAAAGAGCTTCCCAAAGACTATAGGACCCCAATATTTCGGTGAAAGGGCTTCCCAAAGACGGGGAGATTCCCCAAAGTACCACAGAAGTGGTTGGAGAAAATCCTCCAGCGATCCATCCCACACCCCCAGCGATCCTTGCCACGTCACCGTCACCGGCTGAGGCGTCCCCTTGGCCACCAGCTCCTCCAAGCGCCGAAGGGAGCAGCGCTTCCAAAAGACGTGCAGCGCTTCCCGCATGACGTGGCGCTGGCAGCGCTCCGCAGTCCTGCGGCCGAATCGATGGCGCCCCACGCGCCCCCCGTGTTTGAGGCCGCACCCATCGCTTCTTCGTGGAGGTAAAGCTAGGTCCTCCAGACTGGAGAGGATTGAAACAAAGGTACCCTTTCTTTCTGTAGTAAATTTTAGTGGGGAACCCTCCCCCAAAAAAGAACCGGTAAAAGGGCACTACTGGGGCACATAGAAAGGGAAACAACCCGCATTCATTTGTGGGGTTCAAAAGAAAGAAAGACACACACACACACACACGTCTGGATCAGCCGCAGGGGTTCAATGGCACAATGCAGCGCCAACCTCGGAGTCTGAGATGATTGGGCCTTGCTGGCTACAAGTTTGCTACTGGCTCAGTTTTGCCAAGGTTTCAGGGTAGGAAATTGGTTGGCTTCTTCTGGGCCCTCAAACCACGAGGTCCCACATGACATGGGTTCAATGTATCTCGCATACAGTACCAAGCATTTTCCCCTGCTTCGCTCAGAGGTAAGTGCGCCAAGGGGCTCACAATGCAAAAAGAGACATGGCGACACCAACAACGAAGCTTGAAGTCGGCAACTGCACAAAGAATCCGAGCAAACCCAGATTGTTGGCCCAAACGTACGTAGACCTCCTTTTTCGCGCCGGTGTCTTCACACCAGAAATTCTGAAGGCCTTGCGTGTATTTGCATTGGTTTCCTGGGTCCATTAAAGTGACATCCTCAAAATGACCCTCTAAATGGTGGCTGCAAGGGAAACCAGCGGGACCCAAACGAAGCTTTGAGATCCCCCCAAATCTTAAATGTGAGAGACCTCGTTTTTCATTTCTTCTGAGATGAAAGAACGGAATGCTCGTCCTGGCAAGGAGAGATGCCTTCAAAAGCGCCGTGGGTTGCATCTGCACCAAGCTGCCGCTGTCCCAAAGGATGGCGGCCAACCTCGTTTCTCGTCTCTCGGGGATGTGTCAAAATAGGAGGGCCACAAAACCCGGTGCGTGGGCTCCAATTGTGGTTAATCCCCCGCTAAAAGTTGAACTTTTAGTGGGCTAAATGGAAACTACCACTAAACACTAAAAAGGTAAAAAGGCTAAGGGGATGGCTGGGAGCCAGCAAGAAAAAACATCTATGCTCGGTTGCTTTCTGCTCCCCTGCTAAAAGTTTAACTTTCAGAGGTTTTTTTCCTGGAAAACCCATTAGTTGGCAAAAAGTTCAAGTCCTAACATCCGCAAAGTATGCATAAATATCCTCACAGCGACAACTCAAAGGGGTTCCCATAGGATTCAGGACGCCCTGCCGAGATCGGAGTGAACATGGAGCTTTGAAGAGCACAAAGACACCACCCATAGGCCTCAAATCCCAGAAGTAGACATAAACGGGGGGCTAGTTATGTGAACTACTTTTTCGGGAACACTCTAGTGTTTTCCCTGCGTATGAGTTTGGGAAGCCAATGGCTGGCGACCTTGACATACCAAGAACCAGGATGGGGCCAAGCCCCAAATGAAGCCCTGACTAGATATCCTCCCACCCTTTTCACGTGGAACCTGACAAGGGCGTCGCTTGAAAAAGAGAATGGTCTTCCAGGACCGTCAGGTTCCATGAGAATTGGTGGGAAATTCAATCAGGCCATTCTGGCCTGAAGCAAAAGGTGCAGGCCAGGCTGCCAGCTAAAGACCCCAACAACAAATGGCTGTGGCTCAAAAAACCGGTACTCAAATGGCCACCTTGGTAAATGGAACCAAAGACGAGAACCCGCGTAACCCTAGCTCCTGAAGTTTGAGCCACACCCAAATTTCAACTGGCTGAGCCCAAGCAGCTTGATCACCTCATCGATGCGCGCCTGATCCTCGCACAAAGACTTCACGAACTCGTCGTCGCTCACGTCGCGGGCCTTCACGGACACGTCCGCACGGTCCGCGCGGCCGGGCTGGAAGACCCGAGGCTGATGGGAAGGACCTTGAGAGGGGTGAGATGGTTGATCAGCTTGAGGATACCCTGGTTGATGATGCTGGACAGTCTCAGCTCGCACTTCCTAACCACGGCCACGGCCGTAAAACGCGTCTGACGTTTTTCTTACTCAACTCAGTGGTATGTTTGGGAATCGCCAAATGATCCTCCCACAACGCGCGCATCCCTCCCAAACCCTTCTGATGGGTTGAACTACATACGGCAGACACGAGCAGGTCAGGAAGTATTGGCTAAAGAAGCTCTCTTTCCCCAACATATCCCCAGCTCATGAATTGACCCTGTATTAGCCCGCCACTGCGACAGTGATTAAGAGATGGCGGGACAAAGGGACGGGTAATATGCAGTCAAGGGTAATCTCATGAACGTAGCCGACTATTACGAAATACATGCTGTGGGTGCCCTAGATATTGCAAGTCGTGCAAATCCCCATGGATTGGGTTTGTTTACTGGACATCCGTATGACCAACCCAACAACACCCCAAAGGCTACTCAATTCAAATTGGTACACCCGAACCACGTGCCAGAAAAAAAAAGCAGGGACAACAGTATATTGGGGTGAAAAAGGGAATCAACGCGGTTGTCCAGAGGGAGGCCTTCTGGAGGGCCAAAAGGAACCGCCAAACAGTGCCTTTGAAACAGACAAGTAACATGGCAACATACGGTATCCCTCCCATTTATCCGACATTGAACAAAACTCCACAAGAAGGGAAGGCTGCCCAAAGAATTCCGGCACTGATATGCGAGCTCATGCGATCTGAAACGAATGGCTCAGACTGAACCCCCAGCGAAAGGTAACCTTTTGCAGGGACTTGAAAGGGCAAACAAAGCCCAATGGGGCCAAAGGGCCGGAAGCTGAGTCAAGCCTGGATCTGACAGGAAACTGCAAGTCAGCAGTGGAACAACATTCCAGTCTAGTGTGCTTTGAAGTCGAACAAGCAAGCAAGATCACACTTCCTGAGTGGATGGCCCGAAACAAGTCACCAACCTTCTTGTTTACCACATCGGTCCAACACCCAAAAAGTGACTAAAGCTCCAGGAACTACTCCGGAAGTGAGTTGTAGGGGACCCCCCAAACAAAGAAGTATTCCTTTGGCTACTCTTTAAACCCAAAAAAGTGCGAGATGGATCGAGACATCGAGTGGCTTGAGGCGAGTCCAGCAACTCATCCACCTGCTGCGGGCTCTGGGCGAGGCTGGGTGTGCGTCGGCCGTCTTCCGGCACGCTGCGCAGGGCCATAACCACCTTCCAATGGGCGCAGGGGAAGAAGCCCATGCAAAGATGGAAGACCCCCGTGAGAGGCTCCAGAGAAGGTTGAACCCCCTCCCATTTTATCACATGAACTCGGGCTAGTCTACCTTTATTGGAAGAAGGCGATTCTTCGAACATACATGGGTTTGAGGGCTTTATTTGGTATGATGGAGTGCAAACTGGAATGTTAGCAAGAACTTTGCATTCGGCAACCTCCGACTCGAACCGAGCAAACCATTTGCTTAAAACCCCCTGGAAAATATGTCCAGCAGTGATATAACTTCCTTTAAAACACCAACAAGGGAAAATAAAGCATCAGGCAAATTAGAGTCAAGGCAAAACAAAAAAAAAGAGTCTCAGCGTATCTCACCACCCGCATTGCAGTTGGTAGGGCGAGAAAAAATCGTTTCTTGGAGGCTTCCTTAAGGTGCCGTACACATTTCATTCACAAACCATCCGGACTCAAAGGCTCAGATGCGTGGATTTCCATGGGAAGAAAAGGGCATCCTTTTTGGTTGGGACCCTTCCCCCCAAAACAAAGGGAAAAAGGGCATTACTGGGCAACTGGGAAGGGACTCACCTCGAAGCCGCTGTCTTATTTGAGCTTTCCACTGGTTCCCTTCGATTCACCCACGTTCTCTGCAGATTCCGCGTCTTCCCTACCCCCATCCAAAACCCTAATCCAGCATGTACACATACGCAGATATGGATGTATATATATACACATATACATAGGTATATAAATATAGATATGTAGACATGCAGTGGATGGATTAAATCCTGCACCACCTAAAGAAACCATGGAATGATGCTTCCCCGATAGATGCCAACGAACAATGGCTTCCCATGGTGTGCAAGTGGTGCAGAATTTCGTCCATCCACAGTATACCCCCTGGTGTTGGTTTTGAGCATCACTGTTGAGCCAACTTTTAGAATGAGCTTCCTCTTGAGGCGATATTTTCGAAATCGGGAAATATGAGGGTTTCTGAAAATGGCGAACCCCTTTTTGGAGGCTGGGTCCTCCAGTAGAGAGGTTAGAATATGGGTACCCTTTCTGCTGTATAGTCTATTTTAGTAGGGAACCCTCCCCCAGAAACGGTAAAAGTTGGCACTACTGGGGGACGTAGTAGGTATTCAAACACTCTCTCTCTCTCTCTCTCTCTCTCTCTCTCTCTCTCTCTCTCTCTCTCTCCGTCTCTCTTGATGGATTGGACCACTCAATGAAGCAAAGGATCTGCAAGGGCGGAGAGCGGCTGCAAAAACAATGGAGAAAAAAAAGGTCGAATGCTAGCTGGGGGACCTAGGAGGTACGAGTACATACGCCCCGCCCCGAAAACGAACCGACGAAGCCAAAACCGAATTGCCTTGCACTGCAGGTCCTCGAAGCGCTTCCTGCGCGCGAAGTTCTCCCAGCGCCTCAGCGCCCCACGCAGCTGCAGACCCACCAGGGCTGCCAAGGTGAGGACCCCCTGCTGGCAGTCCTCCCTGCGGATTTCTGAGCTTCGGAGAACGTGGAGGTTTAAATCCATTTGCTTAAGCTCCCTGGAAAAAATATATTTCCAGCAGTGATAGATTCCCTTTGAAACCAAGGGGAAATAACAAATATTATTGACCAAATGAAGGGAAACCAAGTGCTTCCATTTACCACTGTAGAAGATTACCAAGGTTTTTTCTAGGCACTCCCTAGGCCCCGGGGCTCTGCACAAAAAACACATTGCATCTCCCTTCGAGATTTAACGGATCTGCAACCGGATTGGCCATCAGCCGCGATCTCCCCGCTCCCTCCCCGCCTGTGGCTATTCCGTGCATGGGTCGGAGCGGGCGGCGGCGCATGTGGCGCAGGTGGCGCAGGTCGCTTGAGCTCCCAAGTTGCGACCTCCTCGCCCTTGGACTCGCCGAGTGAGGCCAAAGCTTCTCGCTGCTGGCGCTTCGCACATCGGACCCAGACCTCGCAGATCGTGGGGATCTTTTGGAACAGAATGCGGTCTCACACCAATGACCCACAATTCAAAGGAAGGGACTTAGAAGCAATTTGCTTTTTGTTGCCACGGTCAAGGTGGGGACCAACAATGGGGGACAAAAGCATATTAAAGGCCGACCTGCTTTCAGCAACTGAGATGCCTTTTGCAGTTGGATGGCCAGGTAGGAGTAATTCTTATCCGGCATCTGCCTGCTTTCGCTGGACTGCCAGTCACAGCATCTGGCAAGCGCGTCTTGCGCCCACAGGTCGATCCTACAGCTGCTACCGCAGTGATTGTTGACGTTTGCCGTTGCCCAACCTGTTCTTGCAAGCGCAAATGAACCCAGGACCCTGAGGGGCCATGCAAAAGCCTCTTCCATGAATCTCCCCAAAGAGGCATCAGTGCTGGGAGTACACATGGGTAGGAGTTCTAATTTCGGGACTCCTTGGTGGACATCATTTCGGCTGAAAAAAGCCGCTGAGGCCTTTGCTTGCTCTGGTTACACACTTCACTCGCGAGCCCCTGGAAGCCAAAGGCCAGCGTTGCAAGAGCCATGGCGTGTCAATGAAACAAGGCCTGTGACAGAGGGCCGCTCCCTTCAGGTGTGGTTTGCCAAGCGGACAAATAGGGGTCGGGGAACACATGTCAGTCTCTTCGTTGTGGCTTCCTGTAGGGAAAGTCAAACATGTGCCATTTAGCGCCCAGAAAGCAAAAGTAACTCGAAATTCACACCCAAGACCATCCCATGCCGGACGTGTGCTTTGAGGGGTTCTGGTGCCAGGCTAGTCCAGCAGCGGCCAGCAAAGTACACAGAATACTCACCCGCTGCGTTGAGAGTATGTAGGTCCTCCAGTAGAGAGGTTAGAATAAGGGTACCCTTTTCTCTGTAGTCTATCTTCGTAGGGGAACCCTCCCCCAAAAAAGAAACGGTAAAAGGGCACTACTGGGGGACGTAGGTCTTGAAACACTCTCTGTCTATCTCTCTCTCTCTCTCTTTCTTTCTGCCTTTCTTTCTTTCTTTCTTTCTTTCTGTCTTTTGTTTTTTTTTCTCTCTCTCTCTCTCTCTTGATCCATTGGACCACTCAATGAAGCAAAGGATCCCCAAGGGCCGAGAGCGGATGCAAACAAACTGAGGAAAGGTCTAATGCTTGCTGAAGGTGTACATATCCCCTATGAACCATCCCTTCCGGATTTCAGAAGATCCGAGGCGGATGAATCAGCCAGCAACACACAAACATGCAGGCGCGTGCCAATTCGACCGGCTTCCGAAAAGTGCGAGCAACAAGCAACTCAAACACCAATTTCAGGGGTTGCTACTACAATGCACATGCTGGACATATGGAATCTTACGCGTTAAGTAAAGGCCCTTCCTGGCCTTTCCATCCCCATCCTTAGTTGAAAAAATAGTCCCCCAGCTCACTGTGCCATTGGAAGGGGTGGGTATGGCTGTTCGGTGGCTTGTCATTTGTGCCCCCAAACTAGCATCTAGTATCGCTGGTGATACACTGCCCGCAAGCCTGGAAGGCAGACCTGTCCGCCTGGATCGGCCGTGGAAATGCCAAAGCCTGAACTGGTTGCCAAAACTGGGCTCGGGCAAAATCCGGAGGAAAATCGGACAACTATGGAGTCAACAAGCAACTGAAATAGCAATTACTGAAAAACAATCAGCTAGAACATGGACTCCCAATTGTGGCCCACCCTTTTTCCGGATAAAACTCCAAGTATGTGCAAACTGTACGAATCGCCTGGGAACGCTATCTGGTTGCTAACTCGCCGGGAATCTCCCTCGAACGAAAGGAGAAAGAACCCTTTAACCCAAGTGAGGGGCTACGAAGGACTGCCTTTAAGGATAGTCAGTTTGTTAAAACCAACTGTTCCAACAAAAGGGCAGCGGGCACCAAACTGCAAAAGGATTTGCAGGGTAACTGAAAGTTCCCCTTTTAATAGCCATGGGCCAAGTTGTCGTGGTCCCACAAGGCATGGAGAAATTGGCAGTGATAAAGCAGAACACGTCGCCTTGTGCGTGTGTAAACCTAAGTCCCGTGCAAAATGATCGAAGATCTGGGTGGTCTCCAAAAAAAACAAAAAACTTCCAAGGCCAGCGTTAGAATGCTGCTTCAACAGGGAGGAGAGGGGTCTCCTTGAAATCCTCCCCAGGGGCAGAGGTGGTGTGAGGGGCGCGGGCCGGGGGGCGCCTACTCCCACCAAAGGGCAAATGATTCGTTGCTTGGCGACAGAGCCAAAGGAAGCCGAAGTCGACATTGCAACGCTGGACATGCTTCATTCATGCACTAAATATATGTATATATATATATATAAATATATATGTATCACAGCTACATAACAACTTGTATAAGGGGACTGCATATATAATACAAAACACAAGAAAATCAATAAACCAACCAAACAAATAAATAAATACACAAATAACAATATACAGGCCCCTGCTCTTGCGTAGCTGGAGATTCCTTGCGCTCTGGCCTTTTGCCCCTGCCTCTGGTTGCTCCAGGGGCACCGGCAGCACCGGCATAAAGGGGCTGGCAGGTGACGGCGGCTTCGAGGAGACCTCGAAGCCGCGATGGAAGCCCTGAGCCATCCCTGGGGGTCGGATAGGGATGCACCCGGAAGTTCTTGGATTTAATGTGAGTCGCAATTAAAACTTGGTATTCAAATGGTTTACGCAGAATCATGTATAGGAGTAAGAAGGCGGTCGTAGCTATTTATGGTTGGGATCATCCCTTACCAACCTTCATGTACCCGGGTTTTGATTGTGGCTCATGTTGGCCCCGGATTAATCAACCCCACGCTTATTCATAGGCTCACTTCCGATCGAGTGGATTGGTCAGAACAAGTCGCCAACCTTTTTGGTTGCCCACACTGGGCCGAATAGGAGTTCATGACGGCCTTACTGCAATCCCTAGCCTCCATTTGCTTAAGTCCCCAGGAAAAAATAGAAAATATGTCCAGTAGTGATAGATTCCCTTTAAAACAAAATAAAACATATTATTAACCAAATGGACGCTAGGTAGTAGAACCACTCGGAAAAAACTCAGCGATAGGAGTCGGTTTTGATCGCTTCTCAGCCAAATGTCGGAGGACTCCGTGGGCGAGAAAAGGCTTGTAGCCGGATACCGGAGGTCGATGTGATGGACTTCTTCCTCAGTGCGGCAATGAAAAACCGCCGCTTTGGTGGTCTTACCAACCACACGGAAGCTTGTAGCAAGGCCTCTGCCTCCAGGGATCCATGGCACCTTGTAAGGACGTACTTGAGGTGCTGAGGAGTCAAAGTATGCCGTACCGTTGACCCCTGACTAATGAACCCCCACCCCCATGTTTGATCAAGGGGGACCTCCCGGAAGAACAGAACTCCCACTGAAAAGGGACCCCTTGAACAGCAAGTCAGGGTTTCTTACTCAGAGGTCGACAAGGTATAGGTCCACAGCCAAGGCGCGCGGGTTGATGCTTGCAGCAACTGCTGCGCAACTTCCCGAGCGGTTGCAGGATGCTCGCCTCCACGCACTGCTTGTTTTTGATGCCTGTTGATTCCCCCTGGTAAGGAGCGGTCAAAAGAGTGCGAAACGAGGGAGAAAAGAGTGCAACATTGGTGGAATCCACAGTTCGGGCATCTAAAAGGCTAGCCACATTTATAAAACCGTTTACCCCAGGAGTCCGTCTGAGTCGCACTTTCAACCAAAGACTTGGCATAGTCGCTGTTCCCAGGCAAACTCAAATCCAGTCTCTTAACTTGGCTCTTGCAGGGGCTGCTTTGAAAATGGCCCAAGGTGATCCCCGCTCAAGTTGAACTGCAGTAATGCCACTTGCTGGCCACCAGCCAGAAAAGCGGGTACCCAGGGCAGGCTAAGCAAAAGGCACTGCTGGTCAATGGTCGTGTTGCAGGAAACTGGACCACGGGCCTCCAAATAGTTTCCACGTGGGGAGCGTAGTTGCGACTAAATGATACCACCCAAATGGGGCGGTTGTAACTAAGAAAGTGAACTAAGCAAGGGGCGTTGAACCTCCCGGTCAGGGCCCTTTTTTGATTGCTGCCGTCTGAATGGGCTACGGTTGCCCCTGCACCGCTGTTTAAGCGACCCACCTTCGACCTGGTGGATTTACCCTCATGGTGATTTAAAGGGAAACCACTACCAAAACTATCTTTGAGAACCATTCAAATTGCATAGCTGCAAGACATATGTATCAACCTATGTAGTCACGTAATGTATGTACAACCTCAGGGGCTCCCTGAAGTACCCCTTTGAGGACCATCACGCCGCGCAGGAAACGCGGAGGCTCGCCACGCTTGGCACCCTGGCCTTGTGAGCGCCTGCGCTCGGGAAGCCTCGCGCCTTCGGAAAGGCGTTTTTGAGCGCAGAGAACTTCCGGTGATTGGTCCAAGCTCTGGGTGTGATATAGGGCTAGGTGCTCCAGTCCAGCGCCCAGCAAAGTACACATACTCACCCGCTGCGTTGACAGTATCTAGGTCCTATAGAGAGGCTAGAATAAGTTGCTACCCGTGTTTTTCTTGTGTGACTATTTTAGTAGGGGAACCCTCCAAACCAAAAAAGGGGTGAGAAGGGGCACTGCTGGGGGACCTAGTCTGGGTGTGATACCAGGCTGATACCAGAATCTGTGTTGGACATGTGTTGAGAAATTTGAGATGCACCATCACTTTTGTCGGACATGTGCTGAGATGCAGCATACCTTTTGTTGGAACTGTGTTGCGATGCTTGAGTGGTCGATCTGGGAAAAATGCTCGACAAGGTGACACCTGAGAAACACCCAACAACTGGGGAGGGAAGCCTGAACCAGGTCTGCCACAGGACGTGTTTTTTCCCGTAAACGTGGCAGTTTTTGACCTGTGTGAGGGGCTGGGGTGCCCGAGACGGCTTACACGAAAGCGAGGGCCATTGCTAGGACCCTTCTTAGAGTCCGAGAGGAGCCGCGAAAAGAATCAAGCAGTTGAGGGGGGCCTTTCAGCTGCCAATCAAACTTGGCCATGGAATAACTTCTTTCCCTCTAAAACAATATGCTTGTTCAGCTTGTTGACGGCTGGCTGACTACTTATAGAGATACTCCTCCCGAACATGAAAAACACCCCTATGCGGACGCATCGCACTCGCGTGCACGCAAGCTTGGCCTGTGGAGGATCCGACGCTTTGTCGGCGCGGCGGTGTGTGCACACCATTCGCCTGCGTATGCCCCGAAAACTGACTGAGTGGATGCACGTTGAGACTGCTTTCACTGTAGTTTGCCCATCCCCTGTTCGCTTGCCTTTGGGAAAAGTAAAGCATGGGCTATATAGCCCCCAATCAAATAACCGTCTCAGCCAAGGCCCGTGATAAATATATCTGTCAAATCTGTGCATGTCATCATGATGAACCACCCTGAACTCAGTTGAGCATTTTTTTTAGAGGTTCAGGGCTTATACACTGCTGGGGGGGCTTCGCGGGGCCAGAATTCGTGGAAGGGTTGGCTTCGCGAGGCTCGCGGCAAGACTGTGGCTTCGCGGAGTGGCTTCGCCGGGCTTGGCGAAGGCTTGTTCCACAAACATCTGACGAATGCGCCCTCGTGTTGTTGAATCAAGTTGAGTCCACGCAAAAGGGGGCGCTGAAAGGAGGCAAGAGAGAGATTGAGCTTCAGGACCAGGCGACATGCCTGGGCCTCAAAGGGGCGACATGGCTTCGCGGAGGCTTCGCGAGGGCTTCGCAAAGGCTTCGCGAAAACTTCCCATCGTTTCTAGCAAAACCGGGCCTGAAACGCACAGTGCTCTTCCTGCCGTCTTCCTGTAACCATCCCTCTAGTCTGTCGTGGCTTCTGACTCTAAACATCAACCTTTGGCATGCTACTGGCATGAAAGCACACAACACAATTGCCATGAAAGCACATAACACGCTCCAACCACGAAGTGGCTTCGCAAAGTGGCTTCGCCTGTGTCAATCTTACTGGGCTACGCGAATTGGCTTCGCGGGGCTTCGCGGAACACAATGTATCGCACAAGTGCCTTCGCGGACCTTTTGGGAGTTCCCCACGAAGCTAACATCCGTCATCTGAGGCTCAGTTGTCCATAGGACCTGGAAATAGAAGGTGAACCTTTTGGAACCTTGTCCAAAAATTGGCCAAATGGGGGAAACCGAAAGATTCAAAGGTCGATTCGCTTTGGGAAAGCGAGTGCAAGGCCACCCAGAAAGGGACCTGCATTCATGAGGTCGCAACCCCCTTCGAGATGTCAAGTTTTGCCCAGATTCATCCAGTACTAAAACCACGTCTGTTTGTTCCCTCATGTGACCCATGTGTAAGGTGGAAACATGACCGGGGGCCGGTACATAACCTGCCAGGCTATTTCCCTGACGGGGGCATGGGCCTGTGTGCCGAAGAAATTTCGCCTGCAAAAAGTGTAGTGGTATACTTGTCAAACACCCAACTCTAAAGTCGAAGAGTCTGAAGGTCTCAGCAGAAATCCAAACCTGGCAAACCACAACAGCCAGCCCGCCCGTTCACCCGTCCGCCCGCCAGCCAGGGGAAGCAAGCAAGCTGGAAAACAGGCAAGCAAGCAAGCAAGCAAGCAAGCAAGCAAGCAAGCAAGCAAGCAAGCAAGCAAGCAAGCAAGCAAGCAAGCAAGAAGCAAGCAAGCGAGAAACAAAGAAACAAACCAGCACGCAAATACAAAACGAGAGAAACAGAAAGACATAAAATACTACCGTTGCTGGTTTTTAGCACAACAAATAAGCAGACAAATAAATCAAAGGAACCAACAAAGACAGAACAACAAAATGAATACTGTTGTCACAAAACACAATATCAATCAATACAGCAATAAAAATAGATAAACCAAGGCAGTCATAACAAAACAAATAACAAATAATACATCAATAAAGCCCTACAGAAATAAATGACAAAAACAATGTCAACCAAACGAGCAAAACTACATAAATACACAACAACTAGCAAAACACCTAAACAAGCAAGACAACAAACAATGGGGAACAAAGAACTAAACCACACACACACACACACACACACACGCAAACACAACAACACCCAGGGGCATAATTCACAACCCCTCATAAGCATATGAATTGCAAAGTGGCTGCCTGGTGGCTGCTGAACACACTGCGCAAAGCCCTCAGCAAAACAAATGAACCGTGTCTTGAATAAATTGAGGCAAGCCAATTTAACAAGCTCGAACCATGGCAACGTATGAACCATTTCCTCCCCCCCCCCCCAGTGAGCACCACCCCCCACTTTCCCGGTGTCCCATCTTAGCTTGAGTCCTTCAGTTCAACAATTCGAATCACCCGCCCGGTGGTTGACCTCGCGCAAGTTCGCGACTTGCTCGAGATCTTAGGACGTCCCAATGGCTCAGCCTTAGTCACGGGGCCACACTCATTTGGGCTTAGGAACGCTTTCCAAACACCAAGTTTCAATTTGAGTACCCTAGTGCTTTTCCAAGTATCAATTTGAGTACCCTAGATTCAATTTGAGTACTGTTTAGGCCAATCTTTCAAATATCCAAGCACCCTAGTGATTTTCCATTTTCCAGGGCCCCTGCTTCAAACAAAGCTTTCAAGAACGGCCCTATGCCCCCAACTCCGCGAGTCTCGCGCCACGCTTCTCCGGCCTTGTCCGTGGCGCGAGGGGCAGAGAAGGACCGAACCGCACCTCCCGCAAACGGGGTCCAACAAATGAAACGGTCTAGGATCCCTGCTCCGTGTTTCTGCTGGCAAAAGGGAACCCTTTTTTGGGTTGACCGGTGGGGAATCCACACAAAAGCCGAAAGGGGGTTCACCATGCCAGGCAGCCGTCCAAGCCGTACACTTGTTTGGCCCTATGTTCAAGGGCTAGTGTCGAGTGCCCCCAGGTTGGGGCTGCACCTTGGGGGTGGCTGGTCAGAAAAGATAATAAGGACAACTACCCACGCAAAACTTCAGTTCGCAACCTGGTAAGGGAACATGATGAAACCTACCAACCACAAGTCCAACAACTTGCCAACCCTGCGGGCGGGCCACTGGCGCCGCCGCCGCCATTCGCAGTCACATTGGCCCGCTTGAAAGCGGTCGTGGGGGGACTTCGACGCGGCTCAACCTCGGAGAGCACTGGGCGGGCTGAATTTGAGTCTTCGGTCTGGGTACTCCGGTACGACTCTTGTAAGACTTACTGACTTTACCTTAAGCCCCAGGGAAGGTCAAACACATATATTTTTCTCAAACCAACCTTAAGACTTAACCTCAAACCTTAAGCCCCGAGAACTTCGCCCAGGGAAGATCAACCATATTTTTCCCCTAACAGCTAAAAGCTCTCGCGGCTCTGGGGTAGGGTTCCGAGGAGGGTTCCGGGCAGGGAGCACAGGGCGGATAAGTGCCTGTAAATGCATCACCTGAGCTTCTTTTAGTTTCTGCATCATCCCCAATTGGCCAACATACGATCAAACAAAATGCCAACTGTGCAGGGGGGTACTGGTTTTCCTCCAGCTTGGCTCGCTTTGCCTTGCTCCTCAAGACAATTTGGGAATCCCAAAAGTCCTATCTTCCCAAAGAGGTCGGTGCATCATCTCCATTCCTGGGAGGCTTTTTGAAGCCTGTCCACTTCCATGACTGCTAGAAAAACGCACAAACAGACCTAGTCAGCTCAAACGAAACAAACTTGTCTCATGTCAAGGGCGCGGTGCAACAAGAAGCGCAAAGCCTTGCCCAAAGAAACAAAAAGCATTTGAGCCAATTCAAAGCGCACAGCAAGACTGACATAGAAGATCCCAGCCAAAATCGCAATCATCCGAAAACCGACTCACAAAGATACATTTCACCAAAGAAATTAAGCATCCAGCAATGGCAGTGCAAACCGCACAAAATTGCCTTTTACCAGCTCATCCACTGCATCCCATTGCAAAAAAAAAAACGGTTGTCGCGGGAGGTAGCCCTTGATTGTCTGGTGCCATGGACACCACGTCTGCCATCCGCTTTGTGGCAAAATTAGTCACCCCTGCTCATTTGTGTCCTCAACTAGCCGGAAGGCACCCTGTCCCCGCGCCGCGTCCCAGCGGCTCTTGTCGCCTTGTCTCTCACCTCTTTGGGTGATGCCTTGGCCCTAGGTCCCACCTGCCATGCGGATGTGGTTCCGGAACCGCATCGGGGGCACGGTTGAACTTGAAGCTTCGGAATACTCAAGAAATCTGTGTACTCCTCTTGGGTTCTGTTGACCCCCCTGCAAAAAGCTTAACTTTTTGGGGGTTTCGTATAAAACCCGTTGATTTCCAAAAAAAGTTAAAGTCCAAAGAACCAACCCAATAGCAGTCAAGTCCTGATCATCCAACTTGACATCTCGGCAAAGAAGAATGATGAGCAGTTCACCCAGCAATAAGAGACTCTTAAGGGCGAGGTTGCACCGAGTCCAGGATGTGCCCGCTTGCCCAAAGAATCTGGACATAAAAGGTTAATCATTTTGGGACATGAATATCATAAATATGGACCAAACAAGGGCAAGTAAAAGGTCAAATGGCTAGACTGAGTAACCTCATGTAGGCCATGGTCATGCCCTTGAAAGATCCCTTACCATGGTCGTCTGACGAAGGTCGATTTGCTTTGGTCTCCTTAGCCCAGCCGTTCAGCCTCGCCTCCGTGCGGCCTTTCGACATGCCGGGGCAAAACTCGGCAAAGGCATCGCGGCTTGGCGTTGGCCCGCCCGACCGGAGCACTTTCAATGCTTTGAAACCTTTGCTCACCTACCTCATATGCACCTATAGATATTGAAATTCAATAGGGGCCCACCTCAAAGTGGTGGACATCAAAATCCCCGCACAAATGTCCAACAGGTCCCAAAAGGACCCATTAACATTTTGCTTGTCAACCCCTGTTCTGAGGCCTTTGATTCACCTAATTACCCCTTTGGCTTGGATTCGATTCAACTTACTTGAAACACACTGCGAATCGAGCGGATCCCAACGGAAACTGGCCATCCCAGAAGGATGGGCAACAGTGGCCAAGTAATTGCCAACACGCTTCTCATATACGAACCTGCTCCCTTCGAAGTCCATCACCAAGGCGGAAGTGCTGTGAAAAGGGCAGAAGAAACATCGAGCTGCAGACCAGCTGTGCCACCCCCTGGACCCCTTTACCCTTGGTCATGTTGCGCCATGGAACGCTTACCCTGCAGGTACGCCCTGTGGCAACTTTGGGATCCACCCTTAGGAGCCCAAAACACTAAACATGAGGGGCTGTTGACCCTGAAAGGCCTCAAATAATGCGGTCTTTAGGAACCCTTCCGATGAACCGAAGCCCCCCAAACCAATGACCGACCCTGTGTGCAGCTGGAGCCGCAGGCGCGCGGGCGAGCAGGAATGCATCAACCCCAATGCAAAGTCCAGGAATCTGGGCCCCTCAGATCCCCTGCTAAAAGCGACTAACTTTTAGTGGGTTGAATGGAGACTACCACTAAAAACACTAAAAATACAACTATATGAACACCAAAAAGGATCTATAAAGCTAAGGAACCGGATGGCTGGGAGCCAAGGAATGAAACCCTGCGAGCAACGGGTGCGCTTCATATAGCCCTCACTGGCCAAACACTCACCTTGCCGCCCGGACTGGGGTGGCTCGAGCATTCTAGACACCGAAACCTCGAGCGTTCGCCCAGTTGACGCTTCAGGGGCGCAAAGTGGCACTGCTCCACATCTTGGTTGACGTTGGAAAGGGAGCAACAAAAATCAAATGTTAGCAGTTAAGTGGGGATTTCAACCACTAAACCGCAATAAGCAAAAATGCAAAATGTGTCCCAACGACAAACATGAAATCTTAGGTGGCGTCTTAGAGCCTGTGCAAAGATGTAGGGGAGGGACAATGGGCAAGGTCACAGCGTCTCTCATGCTCACCGGAGTTGTCCAAGAACATCCGCACAACTCGAAAAAACTGGGCTCATCAACGAGACGGAACTGGGTTCGCCTGTGGCTCCCGTTTTCCCCAGGTCGAATTTTGTGTTTCCTACATGGGAACCCGCAACCAAATGGCGTCACGTCCGGAGCCCCATTTCCGACCGTGGATGGACGAAATCCTGCACCACTTGGAAACCATGGAAAACCATTGTGCATTGGTATTTGCAAGGGAATCATCATTCCTAGGTTTCTTAGGTGGTGCGAAATGGATTTCGTCCATCGACAGTAGTCCAAGTTTCCGATCTGGCTGAAAGGCTAGCTCCTTCCACCCAAGTCACAAGGGAGGAAAGCAGAAGGACTCCCCTCCCGATGCACTCCTCATAGGTTTGGAAGGAACCGTCTTAGGGGGTTCCGAGCACCTTCCTGCTCGGCATGGGGGTGCGTAAGAATAATAGGTATCAAAGCGCTGACAACGAGAAACATCCGTGATTTTCCAAGCCGGAGGGCTCCGGGAGGGCCCGAATTTGGATGACCCCCAAGGGGCTGTTTCCGATACGCATGGGGCCATAAGAATCATAGGCAGCCCTGAAAAAAACCACCCCAAGAACTTGAGAAAGCACGCAGCTTAGGGCAGCACCCGCCATGGTGTCTTTGCGGGACCCGCGCTGAATGGACCCGTCAGCTTGAAATTCAGAACGGGTGTGTTCTATCGTGGCTTCGTGTTGTATTGGTGTGTGTGTGTTTGTGTTTGTTTGTTTTGTGTTGCCTTGTTTGTGTTGTGTGCGCTCATTGCCTCAGGCTTGTCTTGTGCTCCGCTGAGTTGCTTTTCAGCGGCGGGCCCTGCGCGGTGAAATTGAAGCAAGTAAGTCAACGCGGAGTCCCTGGGTGCTCCAAGCGCTTGGCACGCTGAGCAGGGCGGCGGACACGCGGCGCAATGCTGCGGGCTGCGTCAGTGATGATCTGCTAGAAACATGGCTCCAAGCTGCTGGTCTCTGGGACGAAAGCCGCTTCTGACAATTTCGGCAGAAGACATCCCTAGGTCAGCATCCGCCAATTATGTACCCAGCGAATGTGCTACTTGCATAGTAAACCAGTCTGGTTGGCATGCCCGCGTGGCTGAACATGCAACTGTGAAGCTGCCAGCAAATCAGCAAGCCGCTCGCTCCATCAAGTGCAGCACTTTTGGGCGCTCAGATGAAATGCTTCTTCTCGTAATAATTCATCCGGTTGAAGAACAAGGCCCCCAAGACGGACACGCAAATGACCTGGCAGAGCGCTTGAATCTGAGCCTCACAGGCATTGCATCATCTAGCGCGCTGGCACGTTCCACATGCACGATATTGTGCAAAGCTCTTCCATGCGCTGCGGGTACATGCTCTCCACCCAAGTGTGGCCCTGTGGATAAAGCGACTGATCCTACCTACTTGCCTCGCAAGGACTGCCCAAACAAGCTGCCCGGCTTACTCACAAATCAATCCGACGGGCATGAGATCCACCGGGACCACCCGGGCAAATGATCATCTTGTGAAATGAGCAAAAGACATGCCAGGCTGGCTATGAGAAAGAACAGCAGCTGGCTCTGTGACGAGCCTCGGTGCAGGACATGGCCTTCGCATCATCCCCACGGTGCTCCGCTGCAATGAGTGATAATCAAAACCCGGCATTAAAATGGTCGACCCAGAACCATGTAAAGAATTAAGAAGGCGGATATCCGCAGCTATTTATGGTTGGGATTGTCCCTTACTAACCTTCATCTACCCGGGCAGGTTCATGTGAGTCACAATCAAAACCTGGTATTAAAATGGTGAACCCAAAACCATGTAAAGATTTAGAAAGGCGGCCGCAACTATTTCCGGCTGGGACTGCCCCCTAAAAACCATCATCTACCCGGGTTTTGATTGTGGCTCATGTGGCAGGCATGTCAGGCAAGCCGGCGCAAGGGGCTCCTTGTTTTTGTGATTCTCCTTTATTGTTTTTCTCGCGATCCGTATGTTTGTTGCTCGGCGGTTGCAAGCGTGTTGATTCTGTTGTTGATCACGTCGCTTGATTTGTTGTGCCACTTGCACTGACCGGTTGTAACTATCCAGTGCCCACATAATATAGATTTGCCAGTGATACAGCTATACAGCTAGGTTTTGGAGGAGGCTACTTACCATATCTATAATTCCATGGCTACTGCAGTTATATGGACATATCTGTATAGTTGATTCATGCACGTGTGTGCACATATTCGTAAGCACCCCGACGGGCGCAACATTTCCGGCTCAAGAGCTGCAATCACGCAGCTCAAACTCCGAGACCCTGACCGGCCGCTGCATAGTCTTTGACTGTCTGGGCCTTTTCAGCCACAGCCAGCACCTGTCCACTGATTGAGGGCATGCCAAAACCAAAAAGGAGGATAAGAAAAGGCACCCGGGATTTAGGTAGTTGATTTTGGAAGACCCTCAAACCTAAAACTGGCATCTTGAAAAGGATGATGTCTATTGCCATAAATAGTGGAACTAGGGTCTTTCTAGGGTAGTTTGACCACAGCACTCACACACAGCGCCTTATCAACCTCCCACCACCCCAGGGGAACATCACACTAAAAGTATCAAAACCTCTACGTTGGTCTAACGTGAAGGGCTGTAAGATTTCCCAGGCGGCCGATCAAATATAATTTTTGAAAGTGTGGCTCGGATGGGCCCCCTCCAAGTACTTGGGGTATGCCGGAAACTTGATTGACTGAAAGGGCAAAAGGGCAAGGCCTGTAGTTCGACCCGCGCGGTTGAAAACGCCATCCCCTAGAAAGAATGCCAAGAGGCCTCTTGACTTCCCAACAGTCAAAGGTTCACCTGGGTCCATTTAAAACAGTGACAACACCGTACCTGCCCTCCCAAAACAAGCACATAATTCCGGACAGCCACCGTTGGGTTTCGTTGGGTCTCTCTCTCTAGACCAGGGGGAGGTCTAAGCTTTGCTATAAGAACCCCAAACCCATGAAATCACGTTCAAGGGTCCGGAAATCCAGATAAGGCTTCCCAGACGCCTGAACAAAAACACAGTGCCAGTAGTTCCCTGTGCAAAGTCGCCTTAAACAAAGAGAAGGAGGCCATCTCAGTTGGGTTAGAAGAGACACTGTTGTAAAGCTAAGTGTGATTATCAAGTTCCGTTCGAAAGTTTTTGCAAAAACGGCTTCGGACAAGTGAGTCTTAATACCCCTCCGTTCCTGAACTCAGAACGATCCACCGAGTGGAACCCAGCCTGCATGCCCAAGGGCAAAAACCCACCACCAAATTGGGAACACTCCCTCCTAAGGCAACTAAAAGCACCCTCTTAATAAAAACAAACACAAAAACAACTGAAAAAAACCAAACGCACACATGTGTTTTCAGCATGGCTGGCCCCACATCAGAAACAAGGAAGCCTAGAGTCTCCTGGTGGCTTGGCATGCCTCAACTTTGGGTTGGTCCATTGGTTGATCAGAACAGGACCCACCCCCGCAAAAACAATACGAAGAAAAGAACAGGGCCACGGCTGGAAGGAACAACTTGGTTTTACTTTGGCGGGAACTCAAGGTCCTGAACCGCTTTCAAGGTTGATGTTGAAAAGCAGGATTAATAAACCCGTCCCATTAGGGGGGTGTTCCCTCCAAAAGTGATACCCCCCTATTAATCAACCAGGGGGTTATTAATCTGGGGTTAACATTACAGGGTCGGACGCCAGGTCTGGGTGAAAGTAAATGGCATTGACGGCATTCTCCTTTCTTGAGCTTAATCGTCCCCTTTACTTACCCACAACAAGGGTAAGTGCATCTTTCACCCTGTCATTGGGCTGCGATTGCGCAAACTAAAACCAAAAATCAGTCACGCTCATAAGAAACTCACGCCTGTAGTATTTGAGCCCCTTGTCCAGTAGCCCCATTCCGCCCAGGTTCATTGTCCGGCCTTTTGCTTGCTGCCTTCGCCGGAGCCCAGCATCTTGCTGGTGTCCTGCAAGGAGTTTTGAACGGCCACGCCTTTGCAACATGAGGGCACCCTCGTTCCAATGGACGTGGACAGGCTGGTTGTTGAAAGGCGAAAGATAGCATCTTAAAAGAGCGCCTTTCACACTTCCATGATTGGACAAAGGGTATGGTTGCGTCGGGCAGCACAAATGCTAATCCAAGCCCTCTCAAAGTCTCCCGCCTTTTGGGGGACCCCTTAATTAGAAAGGCTTGTTCCCGAAAACAAATCCCTCAGGCCGAACAAAGCAGGCTTTTGTTAAAGCGTTTTTCCCCCGTTGAAATGTTGGGGAGATCCGCCGTTGTTCGAATACGGGTGCCCTTTTTTTTCTGTAGTCTATTTTAGTAGGAAAACCCTCCCCCAAAGGGCACTATTGGTCTAGAAACCGTTTCTGTAATCTCTTTTAGTACCCTTTTTCAACCTTCTACTAAGGGTGGAAAACCACAGATTCGCCGCAGCCAAGCCGTTTTCTAGAAAATTGGGGGCCTCGTCCACCCGGCCCCCCCCCAAAAAAAAAAGAGGCCACACAAACACGGCGGTGCTGCCCATCCCCAGCCAGTCCTTGAGCCTGCTGGCGGCGTTCCGCGCTTGCTGCAGCGCGACCTCGTGCACCTCCTGCGCCACATCTCTCGCCGCAGAACGCCGCGGTCGGAGAGACCCGCGGGTTTTTTTTGTGGGAAAAGAGCGGCACGGAACTCGCAGTTGTTCAGTGACCCTGGAAGAAAAACCGCCTTTTTTTTGGAAAGGAACGGCACGGAACTCGTTCAGTGGTTCAGTGACCCTGGACCAAAAAAGGGGAACCCTTTGTTGGGAAGACGATTTTTTAGTGGGGGAGCCGGGGAGCCACCGAAAAAAAAGAGGGAGAAAGGGTGCCACTGAACAACTGAGAACTAGGACACACCAGCAGAAAAGCGCTGGAATCCTTGGGGGAAACGGTTCTATGGCCGGCCCGGTGTGGTGTCACTACTAGTGGTAATGATGTGACGGTTGCGGAACTGACCCCCGAGCAACTCGTTTGGGGATTCACAGGCAAAAGCAGCGGCAATTGTCCAGCTCCAAAAGGTTCCAACCAGCTATCTCAAAGGTGGAAAGAGCAGTTCGGATTTGTCGCATCGCGGCAGGTCCTTTCTGAGGGGTCCTGAGCTTTTGAGAATTAATTACGTAGGATTCCAGCCCATGCATGGCTTTGCTTTTGACCTTCTGACCACCTGTTGAAGGAATTAAATCACACACACACACACACGCATACGCACATGTGCGAGCACAAATGAGCACAGTTATCTACTGATTGCTGTGGGCAGCCTCGGGCACGCACAAACCGCATCTAATATCCAATCAGCATATGTTGTAACATGTTGGAATTATGATTAAACTATGGGCCGGGTCAACAAGTGAAGACTAAAATGCCAAAGGCGGTCGGTTCGCTTTGGGCAAGTGAGTAAATGGCTGAAACATTTGGTCTTGCCAACATTGGATCAATTTGGGGGAGGCAAGTGAACAAAATGTTGCAAACCGTTCCCCACCCTAAAAAGAAAAGAGGCATGAAATTTGGGAAATGTATTTCTTTGGGAAACAGTATGGCTGCCCATCCGGGGGTGAGAAAAAATGTGTTCCACAGCCCTGGTAATACAAAACGAGTGCTAACCAATACTGTACTAGTACTAATCCAATGCTAAGCCAATTCTAAAGACTGCTGAAACAGCACAAAGGAATACTCAACCAATGCTAAACCAATTCCGAACAGTACTGAGCCAGCTCAAAGGAATACCGAAACAATTCTAGCGAAGGAAACCAAACCCAGCTGTCTTGAAGTAGAAGTGCGGATTTCTCGGGGGGGGGGGGAGACCACGGGAACCGCTCGCCCTTTTGTTGGAAAACGCCTCGTTTTGCACCGAGCACTGTTTCTGGATTGTTTACCTCAATGTATCTGTTTCTTGGATCCTGTACAGGGATTTAAGGATGCGAACATCAAACCAAATGTGCAAACTCCGCTGAATCAGCTGCAGGCTGAGAGCCGATCTTTCACATGAAACGTATAGCCCCCTTCAGGGACCCTAAAAAATGGGCACTCACCGCTTTAACTTCTAGGGGACGCTTCCCCATTCTTTCCAGGGATCCTTCTGAAATCAGAAAACCATCAGAACCCGAAGGGAACCAGGGATCGGTTTTTGCAAAGAACGATGGTTGAAAAAATGGACAAGGAGTTAACGCCTAGAACATGGGGCCAGGCCTTGCCCATGTTCAGCAGCGTTTTGACCTTGCCCATGTGGGCCCGGATCGCCTGCGCCCGGAGCCATCTTTGCCATGAAGCTTCCTGAACTTACTCCACCTGCCAAGCAAAATGCAGGCTGCGCTCCCTGAAATCGACATAAATAAAAAAAAAAAAAAAAAAACACCCCCAAAAGGAACAAAACTCCTCACTTGCTGAGTGGATGGCCCAAAAAAAGTTCAATCTTTATATTTACCACTAAAATGGTCTTCCCAAAAAGTTTAAGTGAGACTGAACCCTGGAAGTGAGACTCTGGAACCCAACATTGGCTGAAGCTTCCCCGTACTCAAACAAACATCTTCTCGGAACTCGAAGTTGCGAGGTGCACGTGAACGCTGCCCTCTGAACCGGGCCCCGGGGCCGCAAACATCTACCCGAGCAAAGTATTGACACATCCAGAGCAGAAAACGACTGAACCCTAGAAAGAACCTTCATGTGTGCCATCGCTGAAAGTTAAACCCCGATCGGTCGAGTCGCTCACTAACCTTCTGAAGGTCGCAGAAACTTATGTGCTGCTGCTCTCAGTTGCCCAGTTTGGACCCAGACATACAATATTGACCTTTTGGGACCATGACCAAAACTGGACCAAAAAGGAAACACCAAAAGCCCGCCAAATCTGCGCAAGCGGGGAGTTCCAAACGCCGCGCGTCAGATCTTTGCGTGTGAAGCAAAGGGCACATATTATTCAGAGCTCGACTGGCCTCTGCATGCAGCTGGCCATCATCAGAAGACCAAGCCTCTCACGTCCGAGTTTGTGGAGTCTGACCTTTTTGGGCTTCCCAGACCTGGTCTCCTGCTTGTCCCTCTGAAGAAAAGGAACGAAACAAAAAACACTACAAGTCAGGGCCAGAGTTCCTTAAAACAAAAATTTGTTTGGAGGACTAAGCCTCACTTGAGAAAGGGCATTGCCCATGTTTGGCTGATTTGACACCCCTTCGTGGTTGTCACCCCTTCCCGATCCTCAAGGCTTCCCAACATGTCACAAGATTGGTCCCAGAAAAAGGCCGCCGTCACATGCCGTATTGAACAAGGGAAGTGGGTTAGAGTGTCTGCTTTTCTGACGGCTTGCAGGGTTTGCCGCTCGGTCCTCACCTGTTCCTAGGGTGGTACTGTTTGGACTGGAAAAAGGCATCGCTTTCTGTGGCCCAAAGGCCACAGCGGACTTACCTGGGAATTGGCAGTTGGGGCCGTCGAATCAGGCCACTTGGAGGCCATGTAGAGGATCTGCCTGAAAGGGGTCCCTGGATCCAACAAGGGGGGCTGCACTGCGCGGAAAGCCAGATCGCTCCCAACTCTCTTTCTTCATTGGACGAACTCATTTCTTCCAGCAAGAACCCGTCATGCTACCCGAAACGCTCGCTTGTCGCAACGGACGGCTCGTTGCCCAAGACAAATCGGCCAGTCGCCTGCGTGGCTGCTAGGTAGGTGCCCACATTTTGGCTGAGCTGCTCCATTCCTCGGCAAAACTTGACGGCGAGTCCAGCCATCTGAGTGGTATGCCTCATGTTTGCTGCTTGATCAAGTAACCCTTAGTTGGTGGTTTGGATATGGTTGGATTTGAAGCCCTAGAATCCACTCCTTAACCACCAGCCCACCAGGCCCCAAACCACAAATTAAGGGGGAGCTGAGTTGATCTTGAAGGGAAACCTAAAAAAGAAGCGAACCAAAGGGGGGGGGGCTTTCAGGTGTTGCGGCCCAAGAGCTCGAACCTTGGGATCCAAAAAGGAGCTAACGCCACAGACGCCTGCGCAAAAGGTCGTTCACCTTCTGTGTGAAAAACCCAGTTATGTACCCAAAAGGTCTTCACACCAAAGACCAGCCAAGTATTGGTGCAAAAAGTTGAGTAACATAATCCCACCACTTTTCTGGCAAGCTCGTCTTTCCTTTCTCCTGTGACTTCTAGTTGTTTCTTTTACAAACTTGATCTTGCTGAGCTGACTGCTTTACAAGCACACTCGCCTTCCACCCATGTGGTTCATGCTGGAACCGCCCTTAACTAGTGTGCCGTATATCTGACCCTCATGCCCACCCCACGCCCCCCCACACCCCACACGCCCACACCCCAAACCCACACCCCCCAGCCCACACCCCACACCCCACACCCCCCAGCCCACACACCCCCCCCCCAGACCCCACCCCACCCCACACGCCACACCCCCTATCGCACATCCCACACCCCCCACCCGCGGCTTCACCAGGACGAGGCGAAGGTGGCGGCGCTGGAAAAGATTGCTTTTGCAATTGTCTGTGATTGCCCTATGGTCTCCCGATGATGTCCTGGGAAGCTTCCCTACTGTCCTAAACAAGTTCAAGAGCAGAAAAGGCAAGCTTCCAGAAAAAAACAGCGCGCGCGCTCCCGCTTCGGGCATCCCGACGGGTCTCTACAGAGACGAACTCCTCCCGCATCTGCTGGCTTAAGGCCTCTTCGTCCGCCTCAAGAAATCGGGGGTTGGGATAAAAACCAGACCATCCCAAACAAGCCACTAGATTAGGTTATCTTCGCCATGTTCCGCGGTTGGTTTGGGTTAAACACTAGATTAGGTGTTCCTTTGAGCTTTTTGAAGGGTGGTTCCCGTGGCTACTTCGCAGGGAATCGAGTCACGGGGAGACTGCTTCAAACTTATCCCACCCTGAAGTCATGTCACTTTGAGAAGCCCCTCCACGCCTCTGCAAATTTCACTAGAACTCTCAGTTGTTCAGTGACCCTGGAAGAAAAAGGGGAACCCTTTTTTGGGAAGACCATTTTTAGTGGGGAAGCCACCAAAACAAAAGTTGGAAAAAGAATTGGTGCCACTGAACAACTGAGAACTCCCAAACCTGAATCAAGAATCGGATCCCCGGGCAAAGGATCTTTCTCATGGCTTTCGCTGATACCCGAGTTGTTGAGCTCGTCATAATGCTCGCCAGGGGGCCGAAATTATGCCAAGCAATGTCACTTTGAGAAGGATCATGGGAATTCATGTTGACCACAAATTTATCAATCCCATTTTATTAATACGGGGGTGTTCCTCCAAAAGTGATGAATCCCCGCCAGCAAACAAATTCCAGTACAGGGACACCCCATATAGACGAAATCCTACACCACCTGAGAAACCCTGGAATTATTATTCCCCTGTAAATACCAACCAACAATGGTTTCAACCATGGTTTCTTAGGTAGTGCGAAAAGGATTTCGTCCATCCACAACTGATTACTCCGGGGTCAACGGCACTGGAAGGTCGTACGACAAACGACGTGAAGGAGGTTCCCTGGGCCCTGGCAATGGCTTGCAAGACTTCTGCTCAAAATGGAAGCTACGTCCAGTCCGGCGTTCCGACCCCGGAGTACCAAACCCATCCTATTGATAGGGTGTTCCCCTCCAAACAATCCCCAGGCACATTCCCCCCATCAAACACAACCATCCTAAGTTCCCCTTACCCAACTAAGTGTTTTTACCCAACTCACCCGGGAAGGACTAAGCATTGCCTTACACAAGGCCTCGGCAATCAGATTGTCAAACGCATGGACCCTTCCTCCCAATAATTTTGAGGCCTTGCACACCGGGGACCTGAGATGCATCCAAAAGGCACAAAGAGACAAAAACAATTGGGGCCATTAGGCGGCATAACGTGCAAATCAGGTACCAAAAACAAGCACGGAGCCTCTGGTGCGTTTGCTCTTCACGTGTTTTGTTTGCATTTCAGCCACAGCCAGGCCACAACAACTGATGACCTCAGTCCTGTGGTTGGTTGAAGCTCTGCTGGTGAGGGAGCGTGCGCTTCGAAGGAGCCCGAATAATTCGGAATCCATCCAGAGCACATGTCATATGACCTGCCTGTGAACCTGCACATGCCCAGCCGAAACTAGCACAATGCAGCAGGTGTTCCATGCTGCACCTATGGGACTTCAATATGTTCTACCATGTTTCCAGTACTGCAGGGGAAAGGCGGTAAGATGCTACCAAACATTGACCCGCGCTTCTATTTTCGGCTGGGAGCAAGACATAATGCAGGGTGCTTGCTCTGCGTTTTTATTTCGACACCTTCCAGTCTCCAAACCCAGTCACAAACAAGCACAAACAAACAAAATAAACAAGCAAGTAAGCAAGCAAACAAACAAACCAACAAACAAACAACCTAATTAGACTGAACAACCACAACAACGCAGGAAAGACCAGAAATGTTGGCTGGAATTAGGACCCCCCCTCAAAAGAAGACAACTTCTTGCCCGGTAGTAGAAAACAAAGGGACCCCCCCAAAAAGAAACACAAAAAGGGAAACTAATTCTGGGGAAGAAACGAAGCCCAAATGAAACGAAATTCGCGAATTCGCGAATTGGGATCTCTGGGTGTCCGGCCACGTGCTCCGCTAAGAGCTTGGTGAGGCGCTCTAGGGCCTTCCGAGTGAAGTGCTGGAGATGGGGTTCGGTGGGCCAAGTTGGGGGGACAGGCTGGGGTAGGAGGTAGGGACTTGGGGGGGGTGGGGGTGGGGTGAGGGGGCGGGTGGCGAGGAGGGGGGGCTTGGCAGTAGGAGGTAGGGACTTGGGGGGGGGGCAGGAGGGGGACTTGGCAGCCCGAGTTTGGTTGTAACAAGCCCTTTGTTTGGTTGTCCGAAGGCTGGGGATTGGACAAAGCCATGTTGCTCGTTTGCCCCTGGCTTCGTGGCAAGCTAGACAACCCCGTCTCATGTGCTCGTCCCCACAACCAGCCAGCAAGCCCATGCGCAACCTTACAGAACCAAACACACGCGGTCAAACCCGTGGCTCGTTCTCTGCTTGTCTGGCTTTCTAATCCTATTGGCGGCCAAAAAACGAGTCGGCCACGAAGCGGCGAAGGAAAACTTCTTGGATTCCATTCCAGGCCGAGTGTATGAAATAAGTGGTGCCTGGCAATGAGCAATTCCAACGGCGCCGGGTATTGGGGACCACCAAAAGCTATGCAAAGGGCCCCCGGTCCCCTTAGGCACTAAGTCACTAAGGCCGTCTTGTCAGGGGCGGTCTCCACAGACCCCCGACCCCAAATGTCCCCTCAGCGCCTTAAAGATCCTGAAAACAACTTACATCAACATCCTGTCTTCCCCCATTCTCACAAATCAGCTGGAGTATGTGCATAATCCTGTCCAACAAAAAGCTTCGTCCAATAGTGACAAACCCGAATTTGCAGCTGCCTGATCAAAATCAACCAAGAATTGATGAATCTGGGATCAACATGATTACATTGACTCAGTTGCCCAAAGGACCCAGAAATAGAAGATTAGCCGTTTTGGACCAAAAAGGGGAACCAAAACCTCAATTTGCTCCAGTCCCGTGGAACAAATAAACAAATGTCCAGGGGCGCAATCGATTCCCATTAAAACCAACAAAGGGAACAAAAACAAACATTCTTAACCACAAGAAAAGGTGAAAACGTGAATATTGGGTGCTCAGTTGCCCAAAGGACCCAAAACTAAAAGGTTAACCTTTTGGCACCTCTACTTAAAATGGACCAAAATGGGAAAACCAAACGGTCAAAAGGTCGATTCGCTTTGGACAACTGAGTGTGTCCAACCAAAGGTCCAGCCTCCCAAAAATAACCCTCGCCCGCGAGACAAACCCCTCGGCACAGCTCCTCGCGCTGGGAGGCGCGGTCGACGAAGCGGGCCTCTTCTGCCAAGGCCTACGGCAAGGCATCAAACCTCACCGACGTCTCTGCCCAAAGAACCTATAGACATAAAATGCAAAATTATTCTGGAACCTCAACTAAACACCGTTTAGGAATTGCGAAAAACAAAAAAGGGAACCAAAAGGGGAAGAAAAAAAAGGTCGGCGTTGGGCAGGTGGGACGTCCCCACCCCACTGACAAACATGTGAATACACGACAATACTTCCCTCAGAAGCCGATTGGACATGGCCTACGCAAAACCAAAATTTGCAACACATGCGGTGTTGTGGGGTGAAGCTGGGTCCCCATGTGTGTTTTCTGTTGACTGGCGGAAATGGCACCAGGAACGAGTCAAGGTAGCCAACGCGTTCTTTTTCCGGATGAGTAGGATTTTGGTAAACTAGCTCCTTCGTTTTTGTTGAAAGTCTCCGGAAAAATACTGCATTGTTCTTCTCATCGGCAAATGGTCAAGTTGTTCCGTGGCGACCTTTGGTTCGACATCCCCACCATCCAAACAAAGTATGGAAGGGGATGTACAGGGGGACCTTCTCTTAGCCCTCTTAGCTTCCTCTCACCAGTGGCTTTTGTTCGCTGTCCCCTGGGGCATGGTGTATAAAAGGAAACGAAGGAAACTGGCCTTCGGGAAGCCTTAAAGGCACCGAAGCAGGTGGCCCATCCCTGTGGCTTCGGATATATATATATATATATGTATATACCATATATATATATATATATATATATGCATTTCAAGCAGAGTTTGCTCGCACGCTGGTGTCACTGGGCCTCCCTCCACTCTTTCGACTTTGCGATGCTATAGCCATCCTGCGCGCGCTGGCAGGGGTAACCTGTAAAAGTGCTTTGTGTATGCTTCTGGCATCTGAAAACCAAAGCTGTTGATAGAGACTCTGAGGTGCGTCTAAACCGTTTTTCTGGAATGAAGGGTTGACCAATCCTAGTTGTCAGAATTCGCATCAAGGTCCCCAACTCCTTCCGCATGGGGGCCATGCTGCAAGGAGGCGTGCCGCAAAAGAGGGCCGTCTCACGGCGTCTCTCCGGCTGAATTCGAGGTGCTTACAGCCCGTTGGCCAAATCTAGTAGGCCCAATCATGTTCTTTTTGAGTTTGTTGGCTTCACAGGAACACGAACATACACCGCCAAAAAGCAAAACCTGCTGGTTGAGTCTGGCAATGAAGACCCCTGAAGCCACGAAGCGCGGCATCCCGTCGCGCCGAACGTCTCCTCGCCCAGCACGTGGGGGTCGTGATTGAAGCTGGCCAAGTAATTCAAGTTCACCTCCCGGACGTGAGCATGCATGTTGTTTCTTCCTCTGGCTCCTATGAACTTTTTGAAGGGGACCTTCCACATAATTACATTTGGAGTGGGATCCCTCGAAACCAGCGTTGACAAAGGATGCCGCCTTAATGGACCCCAGCCAGTTGTGTCTGTGTGTGTTGTAGTGTGTTGTGTTGTGCTGCGCTGGCGGTGTGGGTTTATGACTCCATGAGACCGACAAGTTCCAGCCGCACACCTGGCCTTGAGACGAAAACCGGTCGTTCATCCTCAAAGGCTGAATCTTGGCACTTGAGCTGAACTCCTTACTCACTCCAAGAAAACGGGTCACCGGCTGAACCGCCAGTAAAGGACATTCGCGGGTGACCTCGTTTACCCCCTCGCTATCCGCAGCTGATGGCCAATCAAGGGGGCGGGGAGGTGGAGGTACGTCCCTGCAAAAAAGGACCTGGCGGATGCCCAAAAGAACAGCCCCCCTTGGCTCACAAGGTCGTCGATATTCGTTGCTATTTCGTTGCTTTCCAGCGTTTGGTCGCCAAATGGAGGCACCTCTTGGAAACCAACCGCAATGCTCTTAGGGTTTTTTTCCCATGTGCCGACACTGTTTGCGGGGGCCAGGTAGGGCGGGGACCGAAGCCCATGGACCAGGTCCCCTTCCGGCCCTTTGTCCCGGATCGAGGGCGCGAACCACGAGGCCTCCATTCCGGTTTTCGTGCCGGAGTAGCCTCCCAGACATCTCAATCCACGGACCCGCACATGCCCCAAAACTACCCAAGAAAAAAATGAATACTCTCTGTCCAAACCTGGAGGACCAATGCGGACCAGGTAGTCCTTTTTCAAGCCTTCTGTCCACTTCGAGGTGTTGCAGGTCGTGGAAACCATGTTGGACTGCAGACTGTCAGCAGGCTCTATGCAGGGCTTGTCCAAAACACAACTTTTGGGATGAAAACTACAAAGATTTGGGCCAAACCGTAGTTGACAATAATGTCTTTGAGCCACCCTTCAAAGAGACCTTGTTTCGAACAGGATTGCACTTTTCCTGGCAGCGTCCCACATGGCTTATCCGCAACGCTGGGCCATGCTGGGCCTCTGCTCTGTGGTGTTGCGGGGCATACTCCGCTGCAAGTTTCGGGTGACCCCGAATGGGCTCTGGCAAATGGGATGATTGTCCTTGGGTGCAAGCTGGAACCCGTTTACTGGAACCCGTTTGGGCTCACATAGGTTAGCCACAAAACGGAGACCACAAGGCCGTTGTTTCATTGGCTCCATTTCTCCATGTACCGGGAGCAGCTGAGTGCATGTAGGCTGGATCATGAGCGGTCCTGAGCCCAAGTAAACTAACCCCTCCTCTGCTGCGAGGATCTGGGCCTCTCGTTTTGGCAGCCACTTGTGGGTTGGGTGCTTGGGGAAAACCACCGAAACCTACCCATTTTAGATTTAGAGACACCCCGTCTGGAAATCATGACAAATGACTCGAGCTGGAGGATAACTAGGTGGCTCCCCATGCAATCAACCAGGGGTGGGTGTACGAATCAGCCGGTTTCCTATTGAAGGGTGAGTCCGAAAAACCACAGGCTCAACAAGTCCCTGCGGACGAGTCAGTGCCCTCTGAGCGTTCTTGTTCTTCAATTTGCTTGGGCCCCCTGGAAAGATTGACATATTTTTAGTAGTCATAAACTCACTTGCTGAGTGGATGGCCAAAAAAAAGCCCAAACTTTTTATCTACCACTAAAATGGTCTTCCCAAAAAGTTTAAAGTTCATGAACTCAGGAAGTGAGTAAAACTACCAGGAAAACCAGAAGTTTGAGCAAAAATATTTATTCTGCCTAGCGCTGACATAAAAAATGGCCGCGCGAAGAGGCCAATCACTCCATGTCAGCGGCCTGCCGGGCATGGCTCACAGCTTGCGCGCGGACGACAAACAAAGGAAACCAAAAGGAAACCAGAAGGAAACCATAGGCAAACCAGTTTAACTTTTAGTGGGTTAAATGCAAACCCCCACTAAACACTAAAAGCCTAAAAAACTAAGGGGATGGCTGGGAGCCACCAAGAAATAATTACAATTTCGAAGGTTTCCGATTCCCCGGTTGTGAGACAAACCCCGCCTGTAAAGCCAAGGTAGGTGCGAGGAACTGGTACCTCGGCCGGCGTGGTCAACCAAGACTCAACCAACCATAGAAGCTGGCAGGAAATTTGTGCCGGAACTTCAGATTACCTGTTTGTTGGTTGGTTTGCGTGTGTGTTCGCTTCTCCGGAAAAATCAAGCACCAGCGGCTCAGCCATATGCCGCCCAAAAACCGGGTTGTGCGGCGAATTTCCATGCAGCACTTAACCACCAGCCACTTTTTTGTTTGAGAGGGTCCCAAGTAAAGCTCCATGGCCATTACACGCTTAGCCCAGGGAAAAAAAAAAGCCACGGAAACAAAAAAAAGTCCAAAAAGCCATGGAAGCCAAAGCCACGGAAACAAAAAAAAAAACGCTCAGCAAATGGAAGCCAAGTGCCACGCAGCATTTGCTTCCCCCGACTCGGCTCACGACCCAAAGGCCTCCTGCGGCTCACGACCCTTCGGGGCTCCGAGCTGGCAGCGCGCTGGCCCGGAAGCTCATGAGCTGTTGCCAGGGTTCCTCCTCTGCCTCGGCGGTGGTTCAAACCAAGCTCAGAGAATAAGGGAAACATTTATGTGTATATATATATAAATATATGTGTATAAATATATATATATATATTCCGTTTGCTTAAGTCCCTTGAAGAACAAAAGAAAGAACTATTTCAGTAGTGATGGAGTCCCTCCAACAGGGGGAAAAAACTGCTTGAGCAAATGGAAGAGAGAGAGAGAGATATCGATCTCTATATATATATATACATACATACACAGCCCCCAACTGCTGTTTCAACGTCGAAATCCGCCTTGAGGTAACCAAAGACAAGTCGTTGCAGGTGCTGGATGGGGTTGTGCGTGTTTTTGAGTTGGTACCCCATTTGTTTGGTGTTAAAGGGACAACCTAAAGGGAAACTCCAAATCCCGCTGCCCACTCGTGGCAGCTGCTCTCTACAAACATTCAAATACATAAAGTAGAGGCGGGGGGCATTCGATCGACCCCGAACTGATGAACAGAATGTTGAGGATTCATGTCCACTAGCTTTGAAGGTGGTTCCAAAACTCTTACAAATCTCATAGCCCTAGTGTGTGTGTGTCTTTTGTGAGGGACCCTTATGCTTGAAAGGGAAATTGAAAAGGCAAACCACCTCCCACAACCCAAAGGGCCCCGGTAGAAACCATACCAAACAACCCCGGAAACCGCTGCTCTGTGGTTGGATGGTTTTGGAAGGGTATCCTATAAACTGAAAGGTGACCAACGCCTGCCAGGGACCCGTACTTCTGTTCCTGAACCTGTCTACAACACCTGGTGGGCCAAGGGATGCAAACAGGAATGTCCGACGTGAATGGACAAAGCCTGTGCCAGCTTTGAGGTTCACCAAAAAATACATTCAACACATACATAAAAACATCACCTGCTCCGCACGGCAATCGTGCAAATCAGGTAAATCTGATCTTCAACCTTGCCAAAAAGGGGGGATAAGTCGGCCAAACAATGTGCTCCCTTCTTGGGTGCTGTAGATCCCCCAGCATTTTTGTTGCTGGTTCAAAGGAAATATCAGGGGAATCCAAGAAGTTAAAGTGCTAAAGATCCAACCCAATAGCAGCAGAGCCTTGGGCGGTTCCCGTTTTCCGCAAAAGGTGCCCCCCTCAAAAGCTACCCACGCTTCGAAGCAACCCGAGAGCCGAAAGCTGACAGGTCGAGTCCGGCCTTGCCACCCAGGTAGGCGATGGCCTCGTGAAACCAACCGGAACCACCGGAACCCCGAGGTCAAACCGGTAGCACAGGCAACTGAAACGGACACCCTGAAAAGGAGGCCGGCGAAGATCCATACCAAACATGTTGAACATAGCTGTCAAAAGGCTAAAAAGGTGTCCAGGTTGTCCAACATATGGGGAAACAACAAAGGTCAAAAGGTCGGGGTTGGGAGGCAAACATGATTGCTGACAGGACTAGTTTTGGAAGATCCTTTCCCTGAAAGAAAAGTAACACTCGCCGTGTGCAGGACTCAACGAGAATAGAAGTTTCATGGGCACGGCAGCCGTTTTTTTACACCCAGGCGAAACATGCAACTAAACAGAAGCGTAACAGAAGTATATGTTGCATATTAATGTAGATAAACACGCCACCTCGGGCAGTGTATTTATGACCCAGATCTCATTGGGGGAAGACCATTTTTAGTGGGGCAGTCACCAACAAAAAAGGGAAAAAAGGTGCCACTGAACAACTGAGCCAAGGAATCAGGCTTCCACTCAAAACCTGGGCTCCATCCCCAGAAAGCCGTCACATCGGGTGAGGAGAGCAAGCCGGAAAAGAAGGCTGGAACTAGCATAGGTATGTATCGGATCCCAACAAAATCGGTAGTTGTCCTTTTGGTGTTCCTTGACATCCGAGATACCCTCAGAAACCACCTCACATGCGGAACCCCAAGCCGGGCTCTGATCGCTGAGGTGTTGAAAACATTCCCCATGAAGCTTCAGGAGCTCCAGCCATCTGTCCAAAGGGTTCAGGACCAAAAATACTTCGCTTGCTGAGTGGTTTGGTCAGAAGACAACCAAACTCTTTGTTTACCACGAAAACGGTCCCGACCAGCTTTACACAAATCCGAGCTCCGGAACTCAGGAAGAGATTTTGAGAAAAGCCCTGGGCCGGCACAGGCTTCTTGGCTGGAATTAGGACCCCAGCAACAAAAAATAGCTGTTTTGCCTGGTTGGTGGAAAACACATGACCCCAAAAAAGCAAAAAACAAAAAAAGCAAAAAGGGGAGCTAGTTCTGGGGAAGGCTTGTCTTCCAACCTTACGCATTAGGCTCCGATTGGCATCTCGCTCCTTCGCTTCCCCTCGGGAGCCCTCCGGCAAGGGTGCCCGGCGCGGGTGGGAAACTCTGGGTACTCCTGCACTGCACGCCTGCCTGGCCACCAGCCACAGAGTTTCCGCTTTTGGGACCCAAAACGAAGACTTAAAACCCGGTTGCCCTTGGAGGGGGTCTACACAGGGATCCGTTTTTGGAATATTCTAAGGTAGACACACCCCTGGGTTTAAGTCCACTTTGGGATAGTCAAAAAACGGAACCCTGACATGTCTCTCGTGCCGACTTGATGCTTTTTTTGGAAGCTCAGTGCCCTTTTGTTTTGGGATGGCTTTAAAAGGAAGCACGTGGAAAAAAACCAAAAATGTGCGGGTCCCCAATTTTGAGACAAACCCGTGTGTGCCGGTTTGGTTGCGCCCGTTGGCCCGTTGGCAGTTGTTTTCTCCTGTGGATGGGAGATATGTCTGCCCGCTCCCCTATGCTGTGGGATATGCTGAAGGCAGGAATCTGCTGCAAGACAAGACTCAAATAAAGCTGTCGATTGTTGTGAGAGGTGAATGTAAGATCATGTCGGCAAAGATGTGAATGGGAAGCAAACAGTAGGGGTGGGCCAGGTCGCCGAAACAAGCTCGGAGCTTTAGAGCCTTTTGTTCTCAGAAGCATTTTTCTGGGTGGACTGACCATGGGTTTACTCCCCTGGCACATCTTAGTACATGTGTGTGTGTCTCAACTAGGGACCCTTGCACATGGAAGGTTTCCTTCGGGTTTCCCTTCAAGCCAGCGAAAAGGGTATCGAGTCTCAAGGAAACATTCAGCGACAAAACAAACATGATAGACGGGCCGCGGCCACAGGCTTGCTACTTTCACCAGGTGGTCATATGACAAGCAGTATTTCGTAAATAAGTATATACATACCTTGTCATAGTTCACCCACCCATTTCCAGACATCCTGACAAGAGACCTTCAACATGGGTGCCCGAGCTCGCTTTACCCCCCGGTGAAGGAAAGCACAAATGCTTTTGTAGGGCAGTCGATCGACATGCCCATGCTGATTTGCGGCACCAATGGCGCCTTCTAGCCGAAGGATAAAGTTCGCCTCGAAGAGCGTCATGTTGAGCTTTCCACCTGCCGTGCCGTTGCGACTCAAGCAACGCAAATCTGACTTGGTTGACGTTGGATGGGGAGCAAACATTTTCAAAATTGAGCAGTGAAGTGGATTTGGATTTCAACCACTAAACCACAATAAGCAAAAATGCAAAATGTTTCCCAACGACAACCATGAATGATGGGAAAGCAAAGGAAACTGCAGCCTGAGTCCCAAGGCAGCGCGTGGGCAAAAAGTCCGGAGTACAGAGCACTGGGCCGTTGGACAACTTTTTTACAGGGAAGCACAGGAATGTGGAAGCATCATCGGCACCGGGTGTTGGCCAAGGGCCATACAGTGAAACTGGCAGCTCGCGGCCTAAACGTTTGACTCCAAAACTTCAGTGGATTTTGCACATCGCCTGGACAAACTGTGCTTCCATTTCAACGCGTCAAAGCAGCTGGTTGAACACACATTGAAGAGCACACCGGTGAACCAGTCCTCCAGCTACAGGGAAGCCGAGGCATCCACTTTTAGTTGATCTCAGGGGAGAAAATGGAAAAAGGGGAAGCCACTAAAAGCTAGAGCAGTGGATGCCCGAAATATTGCAAAGGAACCAGGAACATCGCTCTCTCTGCCGTTGCACCTCTACCTACCATGGTTTTTGTGGCTGAGTATGGCTCAGACTGAAATGAACTCAGGATTCCGCCTCGCCTGGTAACAAATTCCAGCTCCCCGACTTTGCGTGCTCCTGCATGCGCGTGCGGCGAAAGAGCAAACTTGTTACAACTTGTTGAAACCGGCCTTACCACCTCTAAAAGGGGAACCAAGAGAATGATTGATGATTGCAGCTTGGTTGCTGTTGACCCCTGTGCAAAAACTTATTCACTTTTCGTGGGTCCGATGCGGAAAATCCCACTTCTTTCCCAAAAAGTTTTAGTCCAAAGATCCGTTACCAAATAGCCACAAAAATAGGTGTTCAAAGTATCGTTGCGCGACCCGAGGCGGAGGCTGGGTTTTCGGTGCGAGAGTATGAAGCGACACGTCGAGTGAGGCTCGGGGAAGACGGGTACCACTGGTGAAGCAAGGGCGGGTGTACTGGCGCTGCAACCCTGGGGGTGTAGCCAAACCTCCTTGCTCAGCTGGGCAAGTGAAGGCACAAAGTTTTTGATGGGGGCCTGAAACGGTCAATCTGTTGGATGACTCGAAATTGACAAAGTTAAAAGGCCGATCCGCTCTGGCCACTGGCTTAAGGGGGCAGGGTCTACCTGTTCCATTGGTTCAGCCTTCCCCCAATTCATCCCACAAGTGAGATAACCCGGAAGAGCCTAAGGACAACCCAAAATAACTTCAAAAGAAACCCAAGGAACACCCTTTGGGGCAACCCAACCAAAGGAAGACATTCGACCCCTGAAACCCGCGGCGTAGTGGAAACCCTTGGAAGACCAGCTTGCGTGTCACGCCAGCGTCCTTCCAGCTCAAGGTATTGTCCGGCTGCAGAACGAAGGTGCCTTTGACCTGAAATCTACCACCCAAAAACCAAGGGCCTGATACCTTGTTAATTTCTGCCTCTCGCTGAAAAAACACATATTTGAGATATTTCGTGTCATTGCAAAAGCGCCGTTTGGCACTTATTGCAAACATGTCTGCAAAGTCGGTCGGAAAAAGTCGCCTTTTGGTCGGGGAAAGTCGCCTTTTGGTCGGAGAAAGTCGCCTTTTCAAATTCCCTAGAAAACGGAAAGCCCCAAAATTGCCCGGACGCAAACGAAGGCGCCGCAAGCACCAAAAGGCAGTGTTTGCTGAAAAGGCAGAAATTCAGCACCTAAGGAAGATCCTGGTATAGGAGTGTGTCTTAAAACGGAGAACCCGCCCCCGCCCAAACAAATCGTGGGGCTCCTGCTGGTTTCCTTGAAAGCCACAAAGAGAGCCAAACACATCCATCTGCATACCTGCATTCTTTTTCCGGATCTTTCTTGGCCAGCAACCTGGGGATTTGAGTGGTCTCTCAAAAGATCGACAAGTCGAGAATTGAAATTAGTAGTTATTGGAACCCGGGTGTGATTGCGTTAAAAAAGGCACAAGCCCAAGTAAGTCCCGAAAGCTACCGAAAGCTGCCTGCTTACGCGCCGTCCGCTGGCCCTCGGGCGACAGAAAACAAAAACTGCTCAGCGCCCGGCCGTGTCGCCGTCCGGTGCCCAGGACCACAAAGAGCCGGGCAGGTGAGACACGCCCTGAGCAGACCCTCAGTTGTTCAGTGACCCTGGAAAAAAGGGAACCCTTTGTGGGGAAGACAATTTTAATAGGGCAGCCACCAAAAAAGGGAAAAGGGGCCACTGAACAACTGAGGACTCAATTGGGTGTGCCAGCCCATGGACTTGTCCTACTAATCAGTTTCCCACCAACTGGTGGTGTGGATTGGTTTGGTCAGGGTTGGTGTCCCATTTGCCTTGTACAAGCCCCAAACCACCAATTCAAGCCACCAATTAGGGGTTGCCTGGACTAAGATGGTCCAGGCCTATGTAGCATTAAGTACAGCCCCAGTTCAGCCAGTAGAACCTATGACTCAGCGATCGCTATTGGGATGTTTTCTACAACGCCAATTGATCCAATGGAAACTTGCAGCTCTACTAAGATGGACAAGGTTTGTACCTCAAGTAGAACCCCAATTCCAGTCCGATAGTAGGAAAAACCTTCTAAGCTGGCCAACATGTGAAAAACGCCACTGGTCACTGATCTCAAGGAGTTGAAACATGTTTTGGTTGAACAGTTTTCCATTCGGAGGGCTCTCAAATGTTCCCAAGGCTGGTTGAACCTGAGTGCTGTAGTTGTGCTTGAAGTGTGTAAGTTAGTCCTGTCAGCTCTCTCATCCCCACCTCATCTCTTTACCTGGAGAATGGAGGCAGGGTGAACCACGTTCCACACGTCTAGTCTTCCAATCTATGAAAAGAACATGATCTGGAGTTCACATCCCCCTTCCCCCATTCTTATTGGCCAGCCTCAGGCCCCCAGGCAAAAGTATGCTATTTGGGTTGGAAGGGAAAATGACGGGGGAAAAAGCAACTGCAACATGTCTTGGGCTGTTCAAAATGAAGGGTTGGCCAATCCGAATTCATAGCTCCCACAGATGAAGCCACTACCAAGAAAACCCCTTGCAACCCAAGGAAAGGATCCAGATATCCAAAAGGTTAGCGTAGCGAAGCCTGGCCTTTTCTTGCTGGTGCTCAGCAGGGAATGAGGGAATCACCCATAAGGGAATCACCTCTATAAAGCATCCAACTGGTGGTTTCCTTTAAGGGGACCAAAGCCCCGGTTCATTGCAACTCATTCACTACTGAACACCAGCAAGTTTGGGGTTTGAACGATTTCTGAACTTGCTACTTTGGAGTTTGTTCACCCTGGCGTTAAACCCCCGTTAAAACAAAGACGGGCGCAATTTAGATGATGACAATCCTTAGGTAAATAAGGGTGGTTATATGAACCCCCCTTGCTTTAATGGTGGTTTGAACCCCGACAACAATTCCTGGCAAACATCTTGGTTGCTGTTGACCCCCTGCAAACAGTGGATCACTTTTTGGCGGTTTAGTACGGAAAACCCAACTTGATTTCAACCAAAAAGTTAAAGTCTAAAGATCCGTTACCCAATAGCAGTCAAGAAGAAGACCCCCTTTTGGGTGCCTTCCATTCATTTCTACTCCTGCGATGGATCCCGTGCCTGTTGGTCCATCGCCCCAAGTTAGTCCTGTCAGTTCCCTCATCTCTCTAGAGAATGGTCGTTTGAAGGCCACACAGTTGCGCGCGTTTCTAGTCTTGATGATCTGCCGACATCCCTCTGCTCAACCTGGTTGTTCATGAACTCACTTGCCCAAAGGACCTGGAAATAAAAGGTTAACCTAGTGGGGTCATGACTAAAAATAGACCAAACCCAGAAAACCAAAAGGTCAAAAGGTCGGCTTTGGGCAAGTAAGTTAAGCTAAGCCTGGGCTTTTGGGGTGGGCATGCTTCATCCCTGAGGAGTCTGAGGCATCCCCGCCAGGTCCCGCTTGGCAATGACGATGCTGCCATCCGGATGCAGCCGAACCTCAGCTGACACTTTTCCTGGCGCCGTCGAACATGGAACTGTTTGCCCACATCTGGAGAACACACGTATATACACATAGAGAGAGAGAAGATAATTTATGTATATAAAACAAGCAATAGACAAGATCATATATATATGTATATGACGGTTGTCTGAAATTCCTTGTTCCGGAAACCGCCATCTTCGCGAGAAAACAAATAACTTTCGCGGACCCCATCGCGGAACTTCCGCGGGGCTGTTTTAAGAAGATTCATCACAAAAGTAGTACACGAAGTACACTTTCGCAGCCCCAGCTCGAAAGTCGCAGCTCTTCAGTGCGAAAGTAGTACTAAAAGTAAACTTCCGCAGCCCGGCTTGAATACGAAAGTAGTACACGACTAAACTTCCTCAGCCTCGAAGTCAGAACTTTTCAATACGAAAGTAGTACACAAAGAGAACTTCCGCAGCCCCAGCTCGAGAGTCGCGACCTTTCAGTTCCAAAGTAGCACGCGAAGCGTGCTTCCGCAGCTCCAGCTCACAAGCCGCAAGCTGCGCATGAGAAGACCCGTTGGTCTCATGTCCGGAAGCTGGCGGGGAGGTCCGTCGACTTTCGCGAAACTTTCGCGGATCTTATGCCAAACATTCGCAAAAATCCGGCTGGAAGTTGCGCTCAGCTTGCCCCGGCAGCTTCAAACCTCCCAGAAGCTGGTTTCTGTTCGCTGGGGTTGCAGCGGCGTATTCTTGCGGCGACCCTCAGACTACGCATTCTCCGACCAACTTTAGTCTGCGGGCATTCTGCGCGCACTGCCGGTAAATACACATGGTTCATCACTCCAGCTTCCTGTTTGCAAGCCACACAAAACTTTCGCGGAAAAACATTAACTTTGGCGACCCCCTTCGCGGAACTTTCGCGAAGGTCAACGCTAAGACCAAAAGGTCTTGCCCTTCATAGCTGAATACAACGACCTTTCGGACGACTCTCATATATACATGATGTGATACATGTCAGGTTCTGCCCATGCTCCATCTACCCTTACAACGCAGCATCCTGTAGGATGAATAGTCTAAAGCCTGCGGTCCCCGCAGGTCCGGTAGCCCGCATCGCCGAATGAAACCGCCCAGGGCCCAGAGCTCTAAGCTCCTCCTTTCGCGCGGGTTGTTGAGGGTATGTACCACTTGTTGGTGGCTTTAAAGGGACACCAATACGAAAACCACCCATTTTGATCCATTTAGGGGGGTCCCCCTACAAACAAAAACACACCCTGTCCCTTCGCTCTGTCCGAATGATGGGCTTGACACCCCTAGACTTCAAAGTGGTTTCGCTCAAACCACAACCTGAGCCACAATCACACTCGGCACACCATCCCAACATGTAAATCATTGAACCTGCGGCCGCACCTCTGTATGGCCGGGACTGTCCTTTACTATCCTATCTTAGCTGGCTTTGGATTTGCCGTGGCCATATCTCAAGAGGAAGCTGCGTTGAGACATGATCTAACATTTGGCTGTGGGTCAAAAAAATGGTAACCCCAAAATGGGTCACCCTGGTGAATGGAAACATGGACATTTGCAACCTGCGGCCCAATTCCTGGTTTCATTTTGAGCCACACCCATTTCAAAGCTGCGCTCTTGACCTCCAAAGTGCCAATGAAAAGAGGCTCCGACATCCATGGAGAAACCCGAAATCCATTCATGATTAGAGTTAGGCCCGTTATAGTGTGCCCTTTTAGGAGTAATAGATGGGTTTCCCTGGTGGATGATTAAACCACCAGGTAAACCAGGAATCGCCTTCTATTTAGCTACCCAAACAACCGAAAAGGACACCTATGCCCACAGTGGAGATGGCCAAAAGTCAATTACAAAAACAATCCAGTGGTTGGCCTAGATATATGACTTACCTTTTGAGCGGGACTCCCAATGACGGAGCCAAGCACCTATAACCTAGTGCGGGTTCAGTGGAAAAAAAACGCACATGCTCCGAAAAATGTTGGATGTAAATCAACAAAACACATGCACACTTAAATGCCGTTGAGCGTTTTGATCCCCAGCGAGCATTTGAAGCTTCCAACGACAAGAAACTCCTCACTTCCTGAGTTGATGGGCCGCCAAAAAGTCCAACCTCCTCATCTGCCACTAAACTGGTCTTTCCAAAAGTTTAAAGCCCATGAGCTCAGGAAGTGAGTGGGTCGCATCTGCTTAAGCAACTGAAAAAGGAAGCAACCCAGTGCTCCTTTGAGGAAGGTCATGGATCCGAAGAAACCTGGTCATCTGGGCACCCGGCCCGCACCTGGCGATGAGAAAACGCGGCTCTGGGCTGACCGGAACTCGACCCAAGGACTGCGTTGAAAGAAAGCGTTGCTGGGCTGCGAGTCAAAAAACGGAGAGGTGCGGAGCTTGGATCCTGAATTATTCGAATTTCAAGTAAGTGAGAACTGGAGAGTTGGGACGGCATGCGGCAGTCCGACTGCCCCAACGACCAAAGACCCGAGAGTTCAAGACCTGCATGGCCTTCCAAGTTTGCAAGTTGGAAAGCCCCCAAAGTGCATGTCTTGGATTTCCAAAAATGGAACCACTCCACCTCTCCCCTTTGGAGAAATCAGGCATTTGCTTGTCTTTTGGCCCGGGGAACCCTGACCTGAAATTTATGCTGTCTTAGGTTCTTGGGCGAGCTAGTTAGAAGGACCTGGAAGTGTCCGCTGTCTATGGGCTCAAAGCACGTGCCTTTGGGTTGCCCCAACTACCCCTGGTTCACAGCACTCATCCGGAGATGCATTTCTCATATCCAAACCGAGCCTGGGTTTCACCAAAGGACAAGCACCTGGAAGGGATTGCCCCGAAATATCTCTGAGCGTGGGACCGCAGCTCCCAAGGACAAGGCTGCCCGTGGGAATCTGGCCGTTTCGCTTTTCGCTAGCCAGAAAAAGGGGTATGCATGCTAACTAACCAAAAAACAAACTAAACAAACAATCAACCAAACAAATACCAAGAACCAACAAACCAACCAACCAACCAACAAACCAAACAACCGACTTCACCCCCCCGCGGCAGCAGAAAATGGAGTCGGCTTCGTGCCTGGCAAGAGCTTGAGCTGGAGGGCAGCCAGTCGCTTGTGACCACCGTGGCCCTCGAATCCTGCGACGTCACTGGCAAAATCGCAGGGAGGTTGTCTCGTACTTCTGGGAGTCAAAACCAAATGGCACCATTTTGGGGTAGGTGCACCACCCATTTTGGTCTATTTTAGTGGGGATTGGGATGTTCACTGGGGGTACTTGCTTTTGACTCATGGCCAAGTAAAGGGGTGTTTTGACGCTGGCACATCTGGTCCTTCAGCACCTCCTCCAGTGGCGCGGGCATCGCCTTGGAGCCGTCGCTGACCAGCGCCGCCACTGTCTGCCTCACGTGGCTGGCCCACGTGGCGGAAGCCCGCCCTGAAGGGTATTTGGTGGGTTTCTCGTGAGGAGAAACCATCGCTCTTAAGCAAACCCCATTGAAATCAGCTTCCCTCGAATTGGTGATGTGGGGCCGAATCGGTGGTCTGGTGGTGAAAGGGAACTCCCCCATTAACCCTCTACGGCCTCTACGAGAACCATTTAAACATACTATGGACGGACGAATCCTTGTCGCACCACCGTTCCGAAACCCTGCAATGCTTCGCGTCCCCCGTAAAAAGAACAATGAACAATGGTTTCCCATGGTTTCAAATTGGTGCAGGAATTTGTCCATCCACTGTATTTAATCAGTCCATCAGGGATTCCATCCATGCTAAGCCATTTATCAATACTGAACTGGCCCCTAGACCGACTGCTGGTTGAAAGAGGATATGAAGGAAACCTCCAAAGAAGGCAAACAGCTGTTTGGCCAAGCTTTTAGTGCAGTCGAAATGTCGAGCCCTCTGGCGGCAAAAAACAAACAAGAAAGGCACAACAACCAAAACACATAAAGAAGCAACACAAACGCGTCAACCACCAACATACCAACACGACCAAAAATAACAAGGCCGAAAAAAAGGAACGAACAGCGCAAGAGCCAAGGACACAAGATCCTTATGCCTTAAAGGTATCCCGCCTGAGCTTGCGCTGCCCGTCGAAGGGCAAGAAAACGATGGCCAAGCCCTTGAAGTCGGGCCTGGGTGCCCCCCATTGGTTGAAGCGGCACCCTTGAGTTGGTCTAAGCCCCTCTTGCTTGCCCAAATGTGGCATTCACAGAATCCCCCCCGGGGAGAAATAAAGAAACAACTGGGACATGTGATTTTCAACATGGAAGTCATTTTGTTGCTTTCCTTCAGCCACGCGGATTGAACATGCTTAAAGACACTGCCCAAACAGCCTCTCTTTTTGCTTCTGGGTCTGGTTGCCTCGCCTCGCTCTGCACAACCCCTGGCATTGCCAGCAAAGCAGCCCGGTGGCTTCCATTTTGAGTCTCGCAAACCCGCCCATAGCTTGGGTTTTAAGGAAAGCCATTTCATGCCTGCGAGTCAAACGTCATTGTGTCTTTGGCACAAAGCTTGCCAGCAACCTTTTGCCCATACACTCCGGAGGTGCCAACAACAACATGAACTCGACTTGCGAAGCGATGTTACCTATGAGAAATGGCGGGTTCTGCGCAGGGCTCTGAGAAAATGAGTTGGATTGACGGGGGTCCATATTTTTTTAGCACCCCGAGATAGACTTATATAAGCCCAAGGGCGATTGATTTCTCCAATAGGAAACGCCCAGGGTTTAAGTGAACTTGGATAAGAAAGAAATGGCACCCTGCGAATTGATACATTCCGCCTTTGAATGCCTTTGACGTATTACTTGACTCGTAGCAAATCACCTCAAAACAACGAATCCCCATGACAGAACCTTCAAACCTTGTATTGTCCGAACTCCCGGCTGGCCAAAACATTGTTGACGTGGGGGGACAACATTAAACCGTTAAACTAGCTGGAAGAACATGGGGTTTGCAGATAAGCTTTGCAGCGAGCTAAGTGACTTGTTGTAAGACTACCTGTATTGTTTGCCTAGACTTTAACATTACCTCTCAGGTTCATTCGCCCAGAAGAGCTGTAACTAAAAGGTTACCTGTACCTAGACCTTCCCTCTGGCCCAAAAGTGGAAAAGCCCAACGGTGAGATTCAAGTGAACGTGAAGAGGACGCACGCCGAGGCCGGATCTTGCTGCCCATCTGGCTGAAGCCAGCATCCCTCAGCCCCACCTTCCTGAGTGGAAGTGGCCGCGAGACATTTGAAGCAAAGCCCAGCTGGGTGCCAAGTAGGGCTGCCGGGGGAAAGAAAAACACACCAAACCGAATTTCTGCATATCCTTTCGCTTTCCTTTAGGGAAACTCAACCTGATAAACATTTTCTGGGCGATGCAGCCAGGCAGGTAAGCTCAAGAACCCCCCCCCCGCCCCAGTTCAAAAGGCCTGCGCAAGCTCATTGCCCTTTGGCTTGCAAGTTGGCAGGGGCTCCTGGCACGCAAACCTTGAGGGAGCTTAAGCGTGCCCCTGAGAAAAACATCTGTCCCACGGGCCAGATGAACAAAACATGTGCAGATGTCATCGCCTTCGAACAGTCTTTGAGTTTAGACAAAAGAAAATGCACCCGAAGGTGTCAGGTGAAGAGTCTCTATATACATGGAGGTCCCACTCCACTTGTTCTGGCTTCAGGGGCAGCACTTCCCTGCGGATATTGACATGAGAAGGGTCCTTTTAACACTTTGCTGCCTCATCAGCAAGGAAGCCGCGGGTCCTTCCGAGAAAGGGCTATGGTTTTCAATCGCACCAGTCCAAACGTTACTCCCACCACACATTTGAATCCCTTCCGCAAAGCTGCAGCCTAGAAAGGTCCTTTTGAGAGAAAGAAACCTGGTCGCCTCATGGTGGGAGGTTGTCACATTGGCATGGGAACAGTGGGCAGGCAGTCTAACCCTGGGAAAGCTTCAGGTGCGAGAGATCCTGTGCTGTTTCTTCCATTGACTCACAAGGATCAACTAGCTTGATTGGATTGGTCATAACACGTCGGGACTTAGTGACTTCGTCTTTACAACAATGATCTTCGCGAAAAGCTTGAATGCCATAATATCGGAATTGAGTCATGTTGTTTCTTGAGCGCATGCAGTTGTTTGAACACTTTCCATGTGCTCAAGTCCCTTGACAACAAAATGCACATCTAGCCATAGGTTCCGGTTGAAACCAGAAAAATGTGCTTTTTTAAGGGGACCTAACCTGCATTCCCCCGTTTGAACATCTTTGCGCACATATTGTTTCAGCAACCTCCTGTGGTTCCCAGTGTTTTGCTACAAACCATGGTGCAGACTGCTGCCGAGATGCCAATCTTTATTTCTGTCCCTCTGTGCTTTCTCGATGATCGCCTGCGTGCGTGCGGACAGTGGGCGCCTATGAACATGAAGCGACGGAGCATGTTCAAGTTCCCCAAAATGGTTACGCCTTCTCGTCGTATTGCTTGGCATAATCCTCCAAGCTCAGCCAGAAGGCGAAAATCCCGTCCTGCGACAGCTGGACATCGGGAACCCTTGGCAGACTAAATTCACCCCCCCGCTGGGGGACCCAAAGCACACACCCTTGATCAAATTTTAAGGCGCGCTTGGATTTGGGATGGCTTGGGGGGGTGGTGTGCTTGGGGTGCTTTGTGCGTGGTGGGAGCAGGTTGAGGATGAAGGAAGCAAGTCAACCAAGCACAAACTACTAGACATCGGGACCCCACTCCAATCAGAAGCGTTCTTTGTATAGATTCAAGGGTTACCGGTTTGGGGCCCAAAAGGAAACAACAAACCGTCCAAGTGCGCTGCTCGCACATTTTCACGCTTGAACAGCCACACTGCGGATGCAATGGATGTAAAACCCCATACTGACCGATCAAATTCTTCACCCCCCTCTGCGTGTTAAAGGGGCCTTTCACAAAGCAGCCAAACAGTAACACAACAGAGGGAGAAGGTCAGGGGAACCATTGTTACGTGCAAACCATGACAGTTGCGCTTTCAGCGCCACTGCCAAGTTGAATAGTTACCGCTACTGTTGCCCCATCCGCTCCATCCGGACCAATTCTGCCAGCTGCCTTGGCTCCAATGCTCACCCTCGCGGGCGGCGGGAGCACTTGTCTCGGCATAGCGAGCGGCATTGCGAGCAAGGTGTTTGCTGCTCTCGTTCCTCGAAAATTCAATCGAGTTACGTGCATACCGCTCATTCTGGCTGAAAATCCAGTCCATCTCGTTGCGGAGGTCGTCCAACGTGTTGCTTCGCAGATGGATGATGCCATTCCAACAACCGATGCTGCGAGGCTTGTCTTGCTCAAAAACCACGTTGATGAAAGCTCTCGGGCTATAAGGCATCCCTTGGAACATTATGATCCAGCGAGAGGAAAGCGCATCTTGAAGTTCATTGGGCAGGAACTCCAACTCTGTCTTGATATACGCGAGCCTTGCGATTCGCGACTCCGAAGTTGATCCAAGGCCAACTCCCAGAGTGCGCTGGGCTTGCGACTGCTTTGGAGCAGCCAAGACGAGATTTGCGCTCAACTCCATGCGGAGCATGTCCGCCTCCCGACGGCCCACCTCAAGCATACGAACCCTGTATTGAAGGTCGAGTTCATAGCGGTCAAGCAGAGAGTGGTAGCCGTTCTTCAGGGCGGACTTGAGCTTCTTCCGTGCCTCCTGAATGACAGCACTGTCCGGGGAGTTCAAGCCACGAATGATGCTGCTACGATCCTCCTCGCGGAGGTCAAATGTTCCCACAGATGCCAGGACCTGAGCTGTGACGTGGGTGCTGAGGCCCATCTTCTTCAGCAGATTGGAACGCTGCACGATGTAATTCTTCTGTTGCTCTTTCAACAGGCGTGGATTGAGGGGAGACAACTGCCCACATGATGAGCAGTGCACCTGCCCCTCGAATACACTGTTGTTGCAAACCGGGCACGTGGCGACGTTCAGCTCAACGTTCTCCATTGGGTTGAAAGTCTTCTGTCTCTTCGCTTCCCCTTGCGGGGCGCGAGGAGAGGCCACATTTGTGCGCGTTGTAGCAATACGTTCCAGCGCTGTTGAACGATCATCAACCACGGCTTGGTCGCGCCTCATTCCCTGGGGTTCATCCTCAGTCGCCTCAGCTGGTGCACCTGCATCCGATTGCTCGGAGCGAGTGTACCATACATCGCCATTTGTAGCGTCCAATACAGAAATAATCGTGTAGTTGGGCACCTTGTCGCGCGTAAGGACGCCGTCGCTCTCCGTCTTGAAAAAGCAAAGCCCTGCGCGAATGGCCATTCTGAGGTCGATCTGTATCTCCAGGGGTTTGTTCGCACGTACACCTGAGATGTAATTTTCATTCGTGCTGGGGACGTCAGCGAAGAAAACGTGAGGTCGTCCTGTCTCGTGCTGGTCCCCTCCTCCTGGCAGCAGACCGTTCCGCATGATGTTAGCGAAATTTCGCTTATCAGTGCGGTGATAAAGCACAGTTGGAGGGTTGCTGCAAACGTTCCAGCCAGACCAGCGCCCGAGGTCAGTCCCCGGGTTCACGTACCACTCCTTCGCGATGCCGGAGTCGTCGATCTGGAGCCAGTCCTCGTGGCCTTGAGAGGCCTTCAGCTTGAAAAGCCAATGAGAACATGGGACGTCTCCGCACCGGCTTGCGTCCGGGCAACCAAGGCCAATGAATCTCTGCTTCTTGTCCAGCTTGAAGATATCCATGATATTCTGAATATTCCATGGAATGGGATGTCGCAGCTCCTTGCGAAGCGCGAGTCCCAGGTCTTCGAGGTCCATATAGCCGTCCTCATCCATCACATACCCGCATCCTTCTGTTCCACGACCACGGAGGATCTTGGAGATGCACGTCAGGGAACGGTGGTATTCGTCACTGATTCTCCTGACGGAAGGGTCGTAATCGAAAGAGGGCTGCTTGATCATGTCGTTTCTCTTGGGGCCCTCACCGTAGTCGACATACTTCACACCATCATGAATGCTATACACCCAGCAGTCATAGTGGCCCCCAGTCACGCTCCTCCCGTAGGAGTCGAGTGGTACCGGCCTGCTCGCCGCCTCGTCCCTCTTTGCCACCGCAGCCGCCTTTGCACCGGCTTGCGCCGGGCGAACACTTTCGGAAACATCTGCACAAACACCGCACTTCGTTAGCGTCTCCTTGCAGTACGCGAGAACCCCAACGTTGACTGTGCAATCTTCTTGGTGGCGCACCTCGAGCACATCGATCGGACGCACGGTACAGTCGTGCGAACGTGTCAGCTCGGCTACGCTGCACATTGCGGGGCGCAAGATAGAAAGCATATACAACATGTGATGGGTTCCGCGCATGAACTGGACGGTCTTCGTGATGTTGTCGTCACTGAAGCACATATGATACCTGTCCAGCAAATCGATGGTCTCGACAAAGGGTGTAGCATCTACGTACACGAACATATGATTGGGGTCGCCGATGATGTAATCCCGGACTTCCGTCATGTAACGGTCCCAAATCATAGAGAAGCCGTAGAGATAGCTTTTCGCGCCGGTCATGACTCCAAGGCATGCGCAGCCCTTGCGGGCCGCGAAATCCCTGGTCCAAGCCAGGTGCCTCTTGGTGTCTGCCAGCAACTGACTGGCCTCGCCGGCGGGGTGGTCGAACGGGTAGGTGCCGCTGGGCTCAATGCCGTCCTTCCCAACAAGCTCATTGCCGTTCCAATAAATCATCGGAACGATGGTCGCCGTTGGGTAGTCCGTACGCACCTCGTCGATAAGGGCGGCCATGCGCTTGCACAGCTGTTGTAAGCCCTTGCCCCAAAGCATTTCTGACCTCCATGCACCGACACGCGCCGGGCGAGAAGCATCCAAGCGTTCTGCAAAGTCATACTTGCGAAGCTTCTTCTTCTTGCCCGAAACCATTGAAAGTCCTGAGTCAGCGACAGTCAAATAGATAAGGAGGTCGCGATCTGGTACACGTGGGGCCTGCACAACCTTCAAATAAGGTTCGCTTATAGTTAACAGGGGTGTAAGCAACTGCAAATAATGCGGTTGGTCCTGCACCCATGTATGAATAAGCGACTGTGCAGAGGTCGTCTCCAGGAGGCCCTTGACCGTAGCGGCGAGGTTAGCGTCGTACTTGCCGTTCGTGCATACCGATGTGGTAGCAACATTCTCCATCCACCGCCTCCATGCCGGATCGCAATCCCTCGCGGGATGCGCCATAGCCGTTGGGCCGCTCATTGCGAAAACGATGCAGCACAATCACTCGAAAGCAACGGCTGCATGGTGGCATGTTCGGAAGATGCATTGTGAACGGCATCAGTGTAAATGTACGTGTATCCCTCGGCTTCCTTCAAGTGGGTGCCACGGCTTTCATCATGCTCGTGAGAACCATCACATTTGAAGTACTCAACAACGGAAATAGTGGGCATATTGCTGGCAACGACCCATTGCTTTTTCATTGGTTTTCCATTTCTCCCTTTGATGCCGATTTTGCAACCATGGAATTCATACTTGTTCATCTTGTACTTAGTTAAGAAACTCCATAGTTCAGGCCATTTCCAATAACGACACGCCTTGGGGAGTTCGAAAGCAACTCTAATGTCATTTGAATAAACATCATTGAGAATGCGTTTGAACCCTCTCAACAGTGATCGGAATTGCTTGATGTGGCCCTCAATCTTGGCAGCACCTTTGGGAGTTTGCTGGTTGACATAACCCCACGGGCAACCTCCAGTGCATGGCAACGAGACGTAGAACATGATTGCGCCCTTAGGATTCTTGCTCCTGAATTCGGCGATTTCACGGCCTAACCACTGCCTGCACGTATCGGAGCACCCGTCTTCGGTTTCCGTTACCCGAATGACACGGCAACCTTTTGAAGAGTCTCTTGATTCGCCCAACCGTGAGGTCGTCGAACAACAGAATTCAATAAGGAGGCGCTTGGGCTGAACGTTGCATAACGCAGCGATCTGCCCCCCCTGATCGCTAACTTCTCCGGCCTTGGCGCATGGGGAGAGCAGCAAACTGGTGGCACAGGCCCGCGCCTGGCGACTGGGGGAGATACCGATCAGCTCAAGTGCATGGTGCCACACTGGGGTGCTGTCAAACGCCTTGGTCAAGATGTCTGCAGCTTGGAGGGTAGTATCAACATTGAGTAGTTCGAACTGCCTATTCACGAATTGCTCCTGGAGCCATCTAAAGCTAATGCGTTGGGTCCTATCCGTGTGCCTTAGCTTCTGTGAGTGTCCCTGCTGCAGGATAGTGATCGTGGCCTGATTGTCTTCCATCAGCTTGACTTTCCACTTATCACTGAGATGCACAGTTAGGGCATTGATGTTTGCTACACTTGTGCCCGCATCAACATTTCCGTACCGAATTTCATCCAACTCGCGATCAATGCGAGCAACAATGCCATCGGGCACATCAAGGGAGGCTTTTCCAGCCTTTTGAGCATACCCATGTGCTTCTTTCCCAAACAGGCTGAGCTGACAGAAAAGCGACAGCGTCGGCAATCCCTCTGCTCTGAGCGCCTGGTTC